CACTCAGCACACAAGTCTTTGCATGATCTGAGAGAGCCTCCCACATCTTATTTGACATGCCACTTCCAAGAATCTATAAATGCAGATAGAAATATAAGAAGGCAACCACAAAGGAATAGCCTCTCGATTTCAGAACCAAAATCCAGACTCACATTTCGTAACTTTTGTTGATCCCTGACCAAAAGCCGCAAAAAGTCTTCAACTGTTAATATTCCTTCTTTGTTAAGCCTCTTGTGAAATGACCCATCTTTCCCAATCTTTTCCAATCTCCATACCTCATCATTCAATGCAGGTGGATAGTGCTTTTTATACACTGTCAAGCAACTCAATTAAAAAAAATTCCAGGAAATCCATGAATGAAAATAGATATAGTAAAAAGTATGAACTCACATTCCCCTCTGTGATCCTTGACAGTAAAAGCCTCTGTCTTTGCTTCCCGTACACGTATACCCTCACAATATCCAGAAGCCACCTTCAAGCCAAGCCTGAATTTCCTGCTTCTTATCCAACTTGAATTGTCAGTAAAAGTGAGGTCTCCTAGTGTCCCAACCCCCTCTTTGAGGGTCACTTGCAAGTCACCTGTCAGCAGTGGTCTTTTTCCTTCACGCTCTTTTACCACATGGATCTCAAATTCTTCCTGTGTCCAATCTTCATCATCCTCATTGTTAAAATCACCTTCAAGTACAACAACATCTAGCTTTACAGAGGCTTCAGGTCCAGTTGTTACAACATGTCCAGTGTTAGAGTCAACTAGAACAATATGGATGGCAGCACCCTGCTCCCCTTCTACCTTTCCTCCTGTGAAAAGAGGGAGAGACAACCTGGACCTGAAGTGGAGCCGTAAGCTCCGTCCATCTGGACCTTCAATTCGTTTTGGAGAAGACCTGAAAACCAAAAAGTATTAGAAGATTCTCTCGACATAACAAAAATAAAAGATGTTGCATAGAAAAAGAGGAAAGAGAAAAGTAGGGAGCCACTAAGAGAATAAGGAGCCTTAATGCTGAAGAAGAGTTGGTTCTTGTAAAGAAAAAAAAAAAAACCTAAAACTAATTCCACTAGGTTTCTTGTAAAAGGATCAAGTTTATTCAAGAAAGTAGAATACCAATCAACCAGCCAAAACCTAATAAAAGTTATCATTAAACCATGCTTAGTATACGGCTTTCATCAGTTTCATATCCATGTATTAATAATGCTCAAGTTCATCCAAAGTAAAGCAATCAACTAACCAATGCAACCTTACAAAGAAAGGACAAGAAAAGAATCAAACCTAAGAGAACTTCAAAACTCTTTCAAATTTTAATTGCAGTCCTTCAAATTTCATGCACAACGTTCCTAAACTATTGGCTACTTAATGAGCCAAGACCAAACACAAACTATCAGAATTAATAGACACCCCAGTCACCACACATGGTTGATACATATTCAGCAAAATAACAATGATTCCCAAAGAAAATGCTAACACCATTTATAGTAATAAAAAACAATTGTTTTCACTGTCAAAAAGTGTAATTCAGCATCTCATATGAATCTTTCACACCATCATGCACAATGCTACATGCATGCTGGAATTTCTCATTATAACTAAAATATGTTAAAAACCACCAACTCTGAAAAGAAAATTAAAGCCAGCAGCTACTGCAAGATACACCATTAGACAAGAAATCAGCCTGTTTAAGTCACATAAGGTGTGATCTTTCTCAAACCACAAACTTCCCTAATTGATTCCATGCTGTTAAGAATTGCAATCTCAATCGGCAATTGATGGAGAGAGTACAACCTAAATATAAGGCTACCATGAAATCCCAAACCAACCTGATGAGGGATGTAACACCACCTAACATGCATCATTGTGCATCCCTTACAATTGACAAAGAAAAATTTTTAAAAATTCAGACATTATAAATAGCAAATTTGACTTTGCAACCATAAATGATCAGACATAAATCTTTTACCTCCCATTAAGTCTGGGAGGGCCCAATTTTGCCAAAGCTCTTTCCACCTCTTCACTTACCTGCAAAAGCATCAATTGCAGATATAAGAAGGGAAAAAATGAGGAAAAGAACATAATCCGAAGGGTACAGAATACACAATAGGTTTTCTTCAAATTGCACTTATTGTCGTTCTAAATTGCTCTCTCAGATGCAAAATACAAAAAACTCATTTTTGTGTCATCCAACAAAATTTCTGCAGACACTGTGAACATCTATGTTACATGGATGCAGAGCAGGCTTGTCTCTACACCTCAGATACCCTTTGTCATGAGTATCTAAGATACAAAAACCCTAGAAGAGCATCATCACACGCAAAATATGGGCACCTGTGCATGAATAAGTGATCAATTAGAGGAAAAAAAGGTCAAATTTTAAAAGGAAAAAAAAAGGTAAAATTTTAAATCCTTTTTATATCAATTAACCTTTTTACAAGGGCCCTGGAGGAAGAAGAACGAGTAATATCCTAAAAGGTATAGCCATTCCTAAAGATGATGAGAAATGTACATAAGATCATCTAAAAGTTCTAATTGCGACTCAATCTCACATAAACATGTGTTAATCTAGGATTATGGCATTGAAAATATATGCAAGAATTATGCAATTTGTGACAGCAGCAACAGGTGAACAATTGCACCAAAATCTGTTTGAATGACCAACATTCAAACCTAACAAGGTAACAGTGAGGTAAAAGTTGGAATGTCCAAAAACAAAATAAAAGGAGGAAAGCCTCATCCAGCATGTAGGTTTTATGAGTAAAAATGTGAACAAATTACACGAGACAATCAGCATTCTTCATCCAAATCACTGAAATGTACAGGATTTACTCCAGTTCCATAAGAAACTGAAACCATGAAGAATGCTAATTGTCATAATATGTGTGTAGTGTAAATAAACACGCAACTTTCCACGAAAGAACAATAGATGCATGTCCACGTGTTGGCATATATACATGATACATGTAACTGCACAAAAGAACAATAGATGCATGTCCATGTGTTGGCATATATACATAATACATGTTAGGCACCAATTCAGAAGTAAAACTCCAATCAGCAGCAGAAACAATGCTTGTCAACAACATCATCATACAATTTAAAGCAGTGCCTTTAATCTTAGATTTAAGAAAATTATACTGACCAACCCAATATAAAAAAAAGAAAAAAAGCAGATGCATTTACCATGTATAGACTAATAGTTTCCTGAAATCCTCCACAAAAAGTGAACTGATTGCAAAGAAAGAAAAGCAGTTGGAAATAGTTCTTACAACTCTACGAAGAATGGGTTCCAAAGATGAGCAGAGTTTCTGCAGGCTGTCAACCTTAAGAGCTTCTACGATTACACTGCATAACATATACATGTAATTTTTGAGAAAAGCACTAGGCCCTTATAGAGAGAGAAAACCCCATCAGTTCTTAACCCTGATATTAAGATTTTAAAATCCCCCAGTGTGTCACACTATCAAATGACAAAAAATAAAAAACCTTAAACGGTTTGTAATTCACTAGGCAGAAAAGAAAAGGTATTTTTATTTCGTTATAACCAATTGCCCTGATTGGTTGATTCTTCTACTACTTGCCTTTTGCTTCCTAAAAACTTGCGGCAATATCATAATCGACTAAAAATGAACAAATGTAATTAAAAGTAACATAACAATTCTACATAAAAGCAAAGTTACACAAGTTTTGAAAATAATTTTTAAATTTTAATTATTCAAAAATATTATTTTATTTCATATCCAAGCGCGCTTTTTTTTTTCCTCAGCATATACTAGAAAACCAAACAAGCAAACAAAGTAATATTTACCCCAAAAAAAAGGGGGTAACAAGAAGAAAATACCTAGCTAAAGCAGGGCGCTTTCGCTCAGGCTGCTTGTCCTCATCTCCTTCCAAACTCCTCTTCCCTCTAGCCATACTATTAGTCCTCTCCATATATCGTGTTTGCCTCCGCATTCTGTAAGTACCAAATTCGAAACCCTAATTTTCCTAGATCTGCAGCCACAACAAAATCAACACTCTTAAAAACCACTGTTTCAAAATAAAAACTTCAATTTCACACAACTCAAAACCCTAATCTCCCTTTTAAACACCAAAAATAAGATAAATTAAAAGAAAAATCAAAATCAGAAAAATCAGGTTCTTACTGAACAGTGAATCTCAATTTTAACCGAACAGATAATAAACAGAGATTAAAAAAAAGTGAGAAATTAAAGAAAAAACCTGAGAAAAAAAGAGGAAAATTTTAAAGCTTTTTCAGGGGGCGTGTTTGGGCAAAGAGAAAATCTTTTGAAGCAGTGATTACTAATACCATTATTGAAGTAAAATAAAGTCTGTGTTTGGTCTTGTGGACTTCTTTGTGTCTTTGTGTTTGTGGTCTACTTTGGCGACTCCTTTTAACCAAGAAGAGTTTTGAGGAATACTCTTGTACATCGTGGTCTACGGAAAAACGATGGTCCTTTAGATGTAGTCAACCAATTAGAGTTTGATGTTGACTTATATTGAATTCTGTGGCGGATTCCACGGATTGTGAAACCCACTTCGTGGATCCTGATGCAGTGGATTTTTATTGGTCCCTCAATCAGTGTATGTGATTTGTCGGGATTAGATCGTGACCGTATGTTGGCACTTAACACGTCACTTCAAATATATTTATTTGTTTCTTTTAGCAGACGTCATTAGTTTTGATCTGACACACGTCACCTGCTGAATCGTCCAAATTATATGATTCAGAATTACTTTTTAAGAACATGGTAGCGTGGGTCGTGGATAATGGCTCGCCTCGTATCATAAGTTGTAAGGCAGGATTTTTCGCATAGAAGAGTCAACGTATGTTAATATCATATATCTTAAAAATTGTCATGATTGCGTTAAGATTTCATCCCAGCAAATTTATCCAATAAGCAACAACCATTATAGTAATCTATCCATAGAATCTTATATTTTTAATTTCATTAATAAAATTTAAATTATGATATTTTTAAATATAAAATAATTATTTAACATAGAGAAAAGATTCATTTGGAAACCATGTCAGACCTACATATCCAATTTTTTTGGGGGTACAAAAATGATAAAAGTTTAATAAGGTCATACATGAACTAATGAAGAATACTACATGCAGCAGAAAAATCTAAAGAAAAGAAAAGTTCGATACCGGTTTAATTAATTTTCGTCTCTCTTTTGACTTGAGTGAACTCTTCAAGCCTTCTATAGAGTTTGATGAGTTGTTGGGTGCAGATTTGAGGGGATGTGCAGGGTCCACACATGAAATAGATGACATTTCCTAAGGGCCTGGTGTATATACCGTCCTCGCGGAGCATCTCAAGAAGAGAGCTTGCATATAGAGATGCATACCTATAAAACGATCAGCACACCTTTAGATTATGTCCCAAATAGTAACAAGGTAACATTAAAACCTGGAACTCTGGGGCTTGCCAATCCAATACCGTTTTAAAATAGATAAAAATCCATTGAAGCAAAAGCATCAAAAAGTGAGAATCAGTTTGCTTGGATGTGTTATGCCAATGTTAACCAAATAATCACATGCCTCCACCATCCAGGGGAACAAGCCAACAGATGACAATACAAAATACTACCAAAAAGTTAATTAGGAGTTGTAATATAAAGCATCTAAATATGCAAATAGAAGTGCTCAGTGGCAGGCCACTCAACTAGCCCAAAGGCCTGATCAGAGTCGTGCTGGGTTTGGACATAAGTTTTAAGCTAAGCCTCAAACTCAACCATCAATGTCACAAAATTTTCCAGGATGGTCTACTTCAGTTAATAGAAAATAAGTTCTGGACTATTGTTGATCACTAATTACGCAAACCATTAATGTCTTGTACCGCTATGCATAGTGTACAAAGCAGAGTAGTGTCGCATGTACGTGATGGGTTAAGCTATTGTCTTTCATGGAAACAGTTTTGCATTCAAAACTTACAGCTTCTGCTTGTTCAAATTTAGAAATATTTGACCAACCAAATTACCAGTCTTAAAGAACTACACGCCAGGCAAACAGGACAGTAGTTCCAGACAAATTTATGAGACAGAAAAAAGAAGCTAAAGAAAATATACCCAGCATTAGACCCATCTGCTTGTAGTTCTAGAGCAAACAGAGTTCCTAATGTGACCACCCTTGAGACAGAAGGATGTGATGAGATCTGTTGCACGAGTTCTGCATCCCATAACTACAAGAATTTGAGTGGAAGTGTGAGAGCATATTATAATTAAAAAACAACAATATGTTTCTCCATATTTTCACCAAGTGCAGTTGGAATGTAATCATTATTATAAACTTAAATTTTTAAGAACATTTGGAATCTTTTTTTACACAGTTGAATTATTAAGAATCTTTCATCCCTCTCAGCAGAGACAGTGAGGGAATAAAGTTTAGAGGAAAAAACAAAGTACTGCTATATGACAGAAGTCTGACATTTGAATAAGCCTAAGTATTAGGGGAAGAAATGAGAATAATTGACCAAAATTACTTTTTCCCTTAAGAAAATGGATGTTAAAAATAATAAGATTGCAACTAAGAATCTAAGATACATTAAATCCCTCCAAGTTGATTTAGATACAAATATTTATGACATCCACTTAAACCAAATTTTTTTCATGATTTCAGTTTAACGATATGTCCAAGATTCAATCTTTCTTGTTTCTTTGGGGAAAAATCAAAAAAAGAAAGATATGTCAGTTTAAAAGCCTTAGAAAATCAATTGAGTAAAAGACAGATAATATAAGGAACTGTTGACCATAAGAGCACATTATAATGTTCTAGATTGTTAGAAAGTTTCTCACCCCAAGTATCTGAGTTAGAATAGGCAAAACCAGTGGAAAATAAACTTGTAAAAAGTGAAAAAGGAAAAATTTAACATACCTCCCTAAGCAACATTTTCTGAGATTTTTCAGATGTGATATTAAGGTTTGTCATTGGATCTTTGAACCATTTAATAGATTTAGCAGCCGCTGTGCACCCCATTGCATGGGCGGTATATGAGTGTCCATGCAGAAGAGCCGTAAGCTGAAAGCAACAAAACCACATATATGTTAGTGATTTATTTATAATATCAACATAATGAAAATAAATAGATGGATTATGGATAAATGCAGAAGCCTTGCAATACGACTAGTGTTTCTCCCACCATAAACAATCTAAATCCACGGATAAAGTATAAAAAATTCCAAATAATTCTGACAAAAATCACATTCAAATCAGCTATCTAGTCAGCTTTCTATCTACAATCTCGCATTACAGCAGTTCAGGCTAATGTTAAACCAGGAAATACCATCCGAAAGAATAAGCTGCCAAATGTACAACAGTTGGGCTTTTATTATTCTAAAAATAATGCACCTTCCCTTAAATATTGAACAATTCTGTAAAAGCTGACCTAGGCCACACTCCAAATACTGAAATTAGTTTAAACCAACAGATCGCCACTAGGTTCAATTCCTTGGAAGCCTGGATGCACAAAGTAAATAAAGCAACTTTTTATTATTCAACTCTTACAACCAGTTCTTCATGCAACTTTTCAAAATTTGAAATCATTAAGGCATTGATGCATGCTATGAATTCTCCCTTCAAACATTCATTGACATCCTATAAATTCTCCCCTCAAATGCAGTCTTCACCAATGTCACTCTTCCTATTTTCAGTTCCTACTGAAGTGCTAAAATTAACATTATTAACCAAGCATAATTACTTAGTTCATTAGGTGAAACCTTGAGCAAAAATTTTTCTGAAAACAAAGAATAACAATATAATACCTTTGAGTCTCCAATAAATGAATCAAAAACAGCATCAGTTGCCAGTGTGACAGCTAACGGGATGATCCCCCCAGTCATAACTTTTGCAAAGCAGGCTATATCTGGTACACAACTAAGCAGTTCTGCTGCAGCCTGCCAGGAAATAAAGCTTGATTAATAAACTTACAATAAATCTCAGCAACATTATTCCAATAAAAAAGAAATATAACAAAACCTATTAAGGGCATCAAACCTCTACTCCTAAACGCCAGAAACCTGTAAAAACCTCATCAAAGATTACTGGAATTCTACAGTGTCGACACTCATTGACAAGCATCCGCTGGAAAAGTGGATCAACCATGTGCATTCCTCCAGCACCTTGGATAACTACAGAATATATCCAACCACTGAGTGAGGTAAAATCAGATAAAATAGAAATTATGGTTAAAGTAAGACAAGAACACTAAGCATATCTCAGCTGATAAGAAGAACCTATACTATAGGTCAGAATGACACACAATCCTGAGAGAAAACAATTATTATAAAGCAAATATATACAATTTAACAATGGTGTTAGGAACAATTCAGAAGTTTATATAAGCAAATGGAAGAGTGGAAAAGAAGCGTTCAAGAAAGAAAAAGTAGGGCGGTTTGCAGAATGAGGTTAATCTCAGTCATCTCTCAGAAACATCCAAGCCAGTCAAAAACAACATCTCTGATCTGGATCACTTCTTACAATCCACAAAATTTATTTGTTAGACTACATGACAGCATAGAGACCAGACATGGTTTTCATCCTTGCACACCTTTAAATCTTAAAGTTATACTTTGTTGCAAAGAGAAAAGTAATCAAGTTCAGAGGATAGAAAACCAGTTCTGATTTCAGATCAAGGTGTCCCAAATTTGAGAGACCAACAAAATGCTGCCCTAGAATCAACATCAACACCCTATAACAACCATGGGGAAACTTGCAACAAAAAAAAAAAAAAAGCAAACAGTCAAACCAAAAACAAACAAATAAACAAACAAAATGCTTTTAACATATGCTCCCTAAGTATAAGGACACTAAACAACCAATTTCATCATACTATAGTTCACAACAGAAGTTGTAAAGATAAAAATGGAAACATAATTACAAACTCACGAGAAAAAAAAAAACTCTTGTCATGCAAGAAAAGACAACGTAAAATAGAAAAAATAAAGAAATATTTGTCTTGCCTGGTTCTATAATTAAGGCTCCTATCTGCTTAATCCCAGATAATCCTGAATACTGTGATAAGTGTTGAGATAAATATGATGAATACAGGCCAGCAAGAGTTGATTTGTCCCTGTTCTTAAGAAAAATTTCATCACGAGACCTAAAGGCTGCACAACCATAATATATATTAGAAAATAATACCTTAAGAAGGGGTGATGATAACTCTTAACACCCCACCCTCTTTTTTTATATTTTATTTTTGTAAGAGAAAGGAAAGGGGCGTGGGAGACCAAGTTCACTTACTAATATCTTCCAGTTTCAACATTTCAGAATAAAACACTTCAGGAAGTGAGAGAGTCCATTTGCCATTGTTCATAAACACAGTTGGAGGGTCGAGAAAAAGCCCTCTTCCAGTATACCTGTCTAATTCATAATATTAATTCTTAAGCGTTGGCCATAATTCTATTGCATACAAAATATATAATATTTCTACAGAGTTCCAAACGCTTTCCAGTACAGCAATGCTTCTGAAGCATGAAAAGAGCTGCACTGAAAATCATACCAAAAAGAGCATTGATTTTTGGTTAATAAGAATAAAACATTACTTCTTTAGCTGCCTTATTTCAGGAGTGTTATATTGATTTAATTCTATGTTTGTCTTTACACTAATCTTAAAAACTATCTCTAGTGTCAAAGTTTAATGGCTTTGACGTTAACTTGTTAAAGAACTTGTTAAGAACAAAGAACCAAATTTTGGGACACACACAGAAGGAGCATGAGACCCATAGCCAAATATCTATTTCTAATCCATTCCAGTATGATTCGCTGCATTCTTGCAAAGTTTGCAAATATGAAATATTGGCCTTTGTGAATGCACCATCTCAAAAACTAAAATGACCACATAGGTTTGAATAGAAACATTGTCCAAGCATGAACAGGTGCTGGAGCTTCAATTCGAGTTCAGGAGGCTGAACATGCATACATGCAGAGACAACAAATGGATTTTTTGAAAAGATTAAAATAGATCATGCATTCAACCTTAAAGCATACTATTATTAGCTAACTCTCTGTCTGTGAGTGTATGGTAGTAAGAAAGGTAGCATTATAACTTGGCAGAGACTTAAAAAGACGCAGTGTGACTCTCTCACCAACTAATCTCACCTTATTCCTAGCTACAGTAATACAATGTAATTCCGAAAAAACATATTTTAACCCACACATCGTAGGAAACAAGGAATATCCTTAATGTGACTTTGCAGTCAAGTAACCCTATAATAAGACAAATTCCCCTGCATCACCTATCAAATTACAATACTTCAAGTCTGCACAATCTAAGGAAAAAATAAAGATTCAGGCCATGGAAGCATTTATTAACGAATAATGAATCCATGACTGAATAACCATGACATAAATAAATAGGGAAAACTATGCCAAACATGCTTTTAGGACAAAACTTTCATACCATGGCTGCTGCAAGAATCCTGTATAAGATGATGGTGCCTGTGCTTCCATTGCACCTAAAGTATCACCATGATAAGATCCCTTAAGAGCCAGAACCTGAAATAAAGAGGCCATTTCAGTTACAATCTCCAGAACAAGAAGAAAAAATGTAAATTTTACATTTTTTTATAAGCAAGATGTGACTTAATGGTAAGTACCCACGTCAAAAGGGGGAAAAACCAAAGCACATGTGGCTGAAACCATCAAAAAACCTTGATTTTACTAATCTTACTTAGGATATGGTCCTAAATAGAACACAACAATGTAGTGGATCCATATAACTGACTCCATTAGTGGGAAAAGCTTTATTTTACATTTATTTGCAGAAAGTAGTAAATGCCATAAGAATGACCACCAAGCTACATAAAGCACGAAGCAAAAATTAAGAAATGCTCCAAACATTTTCTTAACTCCTGTTAACAAAAGTTTCAGCATCACATGCAAGAATGTATTGAAGATACAACTGCAATGAAGAATAATATAGTCACCATTTTCACCAAAGGATTACTAAACATAAACAGACCCTTATAACATAACCCCAGAGTCCACTTGTTGCACAGTGCTTCTGCCACTGAGTTTATCAATTGACAAACACACATGAATGCATGGATAGCCACACATGGAGACACACATGAATGTAGGTGCATAATGTATATGACACATGGATGTGCAGACAAATGCATACAACAGACACAAACACATACATGTTCATGCATGGACACGCATCCTGTGCATGTTCATGCAAAAAGACATTGAGTACTCTAGATTGAAAAAATAAGAACAGAAAAGACCACATTGAATACTCCCTTTTATAACAAACAAATTCATCTCCCTTTGTGCTTAGAATTAGCCAAATAACCCCTTTCAACTAGAGCTTTTCCCATGCTTATGTTATCATTTTTTTATTTGTGCAGGGACATTTTACATCGTCTAGCATGCACCTCAAAAATTTTTAAGAAATATATAAGCATTAATAAGAGAATCTGTCAGCAAAAAATCAACAGGCATAAAAGATATACAGTTTAGGTTAGGGAAGAGGAGGGGGGAAGACATTCAGGATATGCAACTAATATATTTAGCAGAATAAAAATATTTATTTCATTCTACATGTTACAAGCTATTCTAGCATTAGCTATTGCCAAAATGCAAGAAATACATAGTCAAATACACCAAAAGATAGAAAAGACCCACCATTAGCTCGATACATCTTTCAGCAGAGTTATTCTTCAATAACTCTAGAAAATTTCCATGATCGGAAATAAATTTTCTAAATGCCATCTTGAGAGCAATTTCAATTGCTGTAGAACCATTATCTGAAAAGTACACCCGAGAGGCCCAACCTACACAGAAGAATCCTAACTCTTAAAAACTTATTGCAATTAAATAAAAACAAATGTTCAAACATGATTAAAGAGGTATAAATCATCCACTGACCAAATTCTTATACCTTCAACAAAAATGAGAGCTTTACAAAAAGATCAAAGATTGACAGCCATCATCAGCTTTTTTCCTTTACTTTATTGTTCTCATTTTTCCAAGAAAAAAATGAGGAAAGTGATAGGCAATCTTCTCAGATGAACCAAGAATTGATGAGAAGAGAGAATCAAAGCATAGATATCTAAAGAGAAACAGAATACGAACCTTTCCCCACACCGTCGAGCAAAAGCTCTGCACATTCTAAAGCTGGCTCATAGACATTCTCAGGGAACATTACATGCCCAAATCTTGCAGCAGCATAACCCATATCCCTTGCAAGTTCAGTCTGAAACCACCTAAACAAATTACCGCATTAAAAAAAATTCAGACAACTGACAGCTGCAAAGTAGGTAAAGTAAATTACACCTCATGCCAATGGGAAAGTTGCAGGGTAGAAAGGCAAAAACATGCTAATGACGAAGTTTAAGCATTCAATATGGATATGTATCTGAAATTGATAAATTCAATATGAGTTTTTCAATTTACTTTGAGGGTCATATCTTCAAACATAATGAATACTTTGGAACTATATGTTTTTGAGATGGATATGTGAGGACAAAAAATAGACTTAATAGTAACATAAATTAAGCTTATCCTACATGATAGGAGAATTATTAAACCATTTAAGACAATATTCAAGAAACAAATAGTGCATAGACCATATGAGATAGAAAGATCCACCTATCTCCATATGTTGTTAGTTTAACCATTCAACTAATACAGGTGAAGCTGATAGCGTGTTAGGGCCAGGGTTGGCGATGTCCTCGGCAGCTAAAGGCCATATGTTAGGGCCAGCTTTTAAAACCTTTACAATTGACTAGACTAAGGGGACAAATCAAATATATATATATATATATATGAATACACTGCCAGTGAAAAAGAGAGAGGGATAGAAAGAGAGAGTAACAAACATAAAGACAACCTGTAAAGTTGCATCTGGTCCTTGTGTCCACCAACTAGCACATGCATCAAATTGTTGAGTTATGACCTCTTTGTTCTGAACCTGTAATTTAATTTAGAAATAAAGGCAGGGATTTAATTTTTACGTCAGAACCTCACAATTAACATCGAAAAGGAAAGGCACAAAGAACTTACAGGCAAAAACCTATAAGTAAAGTATAACACAGAAAAGAGAAGTCAGTCAGGCTATTGCCCATCTTATATTATATGAAATGCACAAACCTTGTAGACTGAAAAGTTTTCACCACAACGTGAATCAATGACTGCAACAGTACAAGATGGTACAAATTTGTGCTGAGTAAATGGCCACCAGAAAACATCCCCAGCTCTTCTCGGCATTTCATTAAGTCTCTGCATTCTTTCTAAATAAGCTTCCAGCATTATGTCTTTCAAAGAATTAAATACATTGCGCGATTCGTCAAACCATTCCATTAGGTTGTTTGATGGATCTTGAGGAATTGGCGGCAGCACAAGCACAGGCACTCTGGAAAGAATAAAAGAATAACAACCCATGACATAGCATGACCAAATCTGATATTGCCTCAAAAATTTTGATACTTCTACCGGTCAACAAAAGAAAAAGTAAAGGAAAAAATTCCAGGTTCCAATGAAGATCAACATAAAACTAATAAAAAACTTAAATACCTATTATGCAAATATGACATTAATGGTGTTTCATTTACAAGGCCATGATCTTCAATAACAATAGCAACAACATCATAACCTCGTAGTTTCAAACTCTCATAAGCTGAAATAGTTCCAGATATACCACCCAACCGCCCATCTCCAACAAGAACACCAGGAAAGCGTAAGGGCCTGATTACACATTTAAAAAGAAATGCATGAGGAAAAACCATACATGTAAAAAGTTAACATTTTCAGCCATCATTCAATGAATATGATCGAAGTTATCAAAAATAAAATTTTCAATCAATGTGGATTGCAACTTCCAGCACATGATTCTTAAGTTCACAAATAAAATATAAATCCACCAAAAAAAGTAATTTTCAAATTGATATAACAATTCTAAAAGCCAAGAAATCAACTAAGAACCCAAAACCGGAAAAAAAAAAAAAAAAAGAAATAGTTACACCAGAGCATAACACTAAGGAAAGGATGCAAGCACAAGCGAAGAATAACCCACATACTGGTAAAGATCACATTGAAGCCCCTCAAATTTAACAGTAGTCATCAATATGGATCTCAACTTTCAGCACATAATTCTTAAATTCACCTAGGCTTCATCTTTTTGTTATTTTTTTATTTGCATTTTGCTTTCTCAAAGGTTGCTATAAAGGAAAAGGAAAAAAAATATAATTGATTAAACTAAATAAATGACTAAAATCTACCACCAATTCAAATATATTGCCTTATATAAAAGCAAATTATGCATTTTGTTCTACTCAAAAATTGCATTTTTAATTCTTCAAAACGATTATTAGCTTTTATATCTAAATGCACTTTTTGCTCTTTAGTTCTAGATGCAAAAGGAAAGTAGAAAAAGCAACAATCAAATCGACCTAAATTCTAAAACTCATTGGATTTGGAAATTTCCAATCAATTGAGAATCCTAAAAGATATTTTTACTAGAGCATAAGATAAAGGCTCTATTGGTTGTTAATTTTGCTATTTGCAGAAAAATTATAATTGACTAAAATGAATAAATAACTAAAAAATGACACCAAATCTAACATGACTAGTCTATATAAATGTAGAATCATGCATTTTTGTTTCAATTTTCAGTGCAAAAAGCAAGTAGTAAAAGCAACAAGCAAACAGAACCAAAGGAAATGAACAAGAAACATTAGAGAAGAATCAACAGATACCGATAAAGATCGCATTGAAGAGTCCCTGAGGGTCCAGGACTGGCGACCCCACCGGCAGTCTCCAACACACAAAACCCATCCAACCTCCCCCTCTCAACACCACCCTCCAACAAGCCTTCCCTCAAACGTCTCTCCACTTTCTTAACCACTTCACAATCCCCCACCGCCCCACCCTCCCTTTCCGCAGCCAAATGAGGAGACAGCGCGCCCTCCCAAGCGTACAGCGTCTCTGAAACAAGCTCTGGAACAACCCTTCCCTCCTCCAAAACCTTACTCTCCTCATAAAACCCCAATTCACACATCTCCTGTGACTCAGTAACAGAGAATTCGTTTGGTTTAAATGATTTGGCGGCGGGGAGGGAAGAGAGGAGTACGGAATGGGAGGACAAGAGGGGGAGATTGCGGCGGAGAGATAAAGAAGAGAGTTTTTGGAAGAGAAAGCGGGAGTCGGAGTCGGAGGGAAACCCTGTTTGGAGAGGTTTGAGGTAGAGGAGTTTTTTGGCGTTGGAAGACGAAGGGGAGAGGAGGAAGGAGGAGGATAGGCCCGTGGAAACTAGAGTTTTGCCAAGGGAGGTGTTGGAGGACCAGATGATGTACGTTGGGTGGGAGAGTGAGATGGTGAGAGTGGATAAGGGTTTGCATTGGTGGTGGAGAAGCAGTAGACGGACACTGAGAAGATGGTGTTGGTGGTGGTGGTGGTGGCGGCGGCGGCGGAGGAGGAGAGAGAGAAGCATGTTGGAAAGAGCAAAGGGAAGATTCAGAGATACGTACAACAGCTTCTTTAATGTCAGAGAGCGTTTTGAAAATGGGAGGGGAAAGGACACTAACTACTCCACCTAACTAGGGACAAATCGTACAGCAGCTTCTTTAGTGTAAGAGAGCGTTTTGAAAATGGGAGGGTAAGGGACACTAACTGCTCCACCTAATTATGGACAAGTTGAACTGAAGCATAGCTATCAGCGATACGAGACACGTGCACCAGCGTAGCATAATAAGTGTCCATTTATGTCATGATTTAATCGGGCCAGTTGGGCTCGAGACTAAAATAAATGCCCCATTACTCGGCCCAGCATACTAGCTCGACTCAACTCGGTTGAGTTTGGAAATAGATTTTTAGGCCCAAGTTCAATCTAATTAAATAATATATTTTTATTTTATTTTAAATTTAAAATATATTTATTAAATATAAATTTATTTTATTATTTTAATAATAAAAAAATATTTATATCACTATATCGGGTCAATTTCAAGCTTAGCTTTTCAAAAAAGAAAGCTCGATTTTGCCTATAAATACCTATATGTAATTCTATATTTTTTATTGTAAACTAGATTTATGCCCTCACCTCGTGAGAGTTTCTTAAAAATATTTATTTTTTTATTTAATTAATTTTAAAGTAAATTATATTAAATAATATTTAGTTAATAATTTTTATTTTTTACATATATTTAAATATATGTATTGATATTGGTATAATCATATTTTATTAATTATGAAAATTAAATATATACAAATTAATTATTTATAAATTACATAATAAAAATGCAATTGAAATGCCATATCAACTCACCTTATTGTGCATTTGAACTACCAAATCTTTCATAATAAGGGTTTCATATGCAAAATAGTAAACTATGATATTATGATCAAGAAACCATCATTCATAACAATTACAAAGGATTCAATAATAAAAAAGCCATCAATGTTGATGGTCAAACTTTATTGTTATATAAAACATGCACCATTTCACTAACAAAGTTAAAATCTCCAGATTTAATGAGAGATTCCGCTAAGAATATCCAGTAATCACTTGTATAATAAATAACAATAAAATATATAGGATATTAATAAACAAAGAAACTCAAGTAGAACCTAACATGGAAGTCAATGATTAGCTAAGCTTAAATCAATATAATCTTATTGGTTGTCTGCACAAGCAAATGCAATGCCACCATAAATTCTAGACACGATGACAATGACCAAATCTGATACTAGTCTATAGAGTATAAGCAAAAAAGAAAAAAAGTTTAGATCATCTTATTAATTGAATATTAAAAGTACCTTCGATAAAATAGAAGATAATTAAAAGTTTACCTTAAGTCTAACTATAACACTGGATATTTTGATTTAAAATTAGATATAATGAAGACGTTGTCCTGAAAATAAATCACCATCTAAGACTTGTAAGTATGGCAACATTTTTTGACATAAAGTTTTAAGTGAACCAATCTAACATTTCAATCTATTAACATAGGTGTATCTTCAACTCTATTATCATTCTCTAAATTGAAAACATCATAGAGTTAAAATGATTTAAAATGAGGTTGCAAAAAGTGTGAAAACTGCATATTTCTAATTAGTTATACAAAACATATGGTACAAAAATAGTTTAATTTTTTTATCATAAAAAAGAAAATAAAATTATTCTATTAATAGCAAAAATAATTAGAATTCAAAAGCTAAAAATAAAATCTATTAATTAATAAGTAAAAGCACATATTTTTCCTCTTTTGCATCATTTTTCTTTGGCTTAACTCTGGTTAAGGTTTTTGAAACAACATGATCAACAAACACATGTTAAAGAAAATAGCTTAATAAGTTCTTCAAGTTGTAAAGTTTTCCAAAGAATAAGTTTTACCAACCTGCTATTCTACTATATTGTTGTTGAAAAATAAGCTATTAACATGTTGCTACACAAAATTGCAAAAAAATAACAACAATACCAAAAAAAAGGTCTAACTTAAAAACTTACCTCAAACTCAAACCTAATACCTCAAAACTATACTTAAAAAAAAAAAATTGAACCTCGTAATAATAAACAATTAAAACAAATTAAATAACAAATTTACTGTATAACCAAAAATCATAAAAATAAATAAAACTAACATGCAATTTCACAAAAAATATAACCAACATAAATTTCACCAAATATAAAACAATTCAAATCATCATCTATACAACCCAATCTTAAAAAACACAACCTCACTAGTAGTATTGCCTTTCCTCTAAATTCAGTTGGTAGATTTTCCTTATCAAAATATGATCTCATGAGCTCCATACTATCTTTATTCTTAAGGTACACAAACTTCACCTTTTGAAAAGGTTTTAATATTCAAAAAATACTTAACAATTTGCAAAATGAAAGAAAAGCAAGTTGATTAAGTTTAATATATCAAATCAGCAAGAGTAGCAATTAACTTACAATGCTAAATGCACTAATATTATGTCATTTAGTTTAGAAAAACTTGTTCTTCACACTGTTAAATCATTATTAAACATAATTATGCCTTAGCACAAGTTTGGAAACATTCAGCACTCATTTAACAATCAGAATGTGGTTAAGTGGATAGAATTCAAACCTTCCAAAATATTTTAAAAATTCTTGAGGGATTATAAAGAAATGTTATAGCCAACTTTTCACAGTAACGATTTTGTAATATAGTAATAGTGTTATAAGCAGACTTAATGGCCACACTTGTACTCAGTGTCCACCAAATGAAGTCTATCAATCAAGCTATCTATTCTTAACCCTCTGAAAGGTTTAAAATAGCATTCTCTATCAGATATACCAAATGACACAGCTGAACGATGTCATGTTCTACAACATTTTTTGCCATGTTAATTTCCAAAACTTCAAATAATTGAATCTACAAACATTTTTTATATGCTAATCCCAATAGAGATAGCCAACCCCATAACTCTTTTCTTAGCTACTTGTCTTTGAACCATATCCCTAACAAACTCAGAGTCCACAACCAAGCTAGCTAATTTTAGATTCCTTTGATAAGCCTTCTTGATCCTATCTAAAAACACAACCATTTGTATAGATTTTGGCCAATTCATGCTCTTTAGGTTTTAAAACTATAGATTTTTAGGGTACAAAACCATGTGAACTAGAAAATGCTGCATTAAAATCATGGCAAATTTTTCAACAATCTTGCAGCAACTAATTCATGCAAAAAATCAATCATTTTGAAGAAGAAAAAAAAGATAGCTTATCCTGAATGGAAACAAAATAAGTTCATAATCACATAAAAAAATTTCTTAATATTAAAATTAATGCAAATAACCAATAATAAATATAAAAATAGTTCACTAATTGCAGATATGAGATGAAGACCTTAAATTAAATATTGTCATAGGCATTAACTCTTTTGTTTGTCAACTAATAATTCAGAAATAAACCTAATAGCTACAATGTTCCAGCTTGGGCAAACATAGTGTGTTTTAGTAGGTTAAAAGAATTAGACTATATCTTTATTGAATATGATGTACATACTGCATAAATAAACAATAAATAAATGACTAAATTGTAAGTTCTAAAAAAGATATATCAGTTTAGAATATTAGAAGATTTAATTTATATGCACAGGAATTAAAAACTTACATACTGCTATAGAGAAGCACTCCAAACTACAGTAAGGGCAATTATGAAACCTTTGGTATTAACACTCACATCAATGATAGTACAAACACCAACACACAGAAGAACAACAGCTATGCGTAGCTTTGTATCTTTAAAGTACCAAATTGTCCATCACAACTTCTAAAAAAATAAGATACAGGAATCATATCGAGTTTTACAATTTGTCATTAAATTAGAGAATCTATGATTTTCAAATTATTCAAAAACACAACTATTAAAATCTAGTAAATATTATACTTTACTTGATAAAATCCCATAGAGTTCCAAATCAGAGTAACATTCATTCAAACGATAGAGAAGTTTACAAACAAAGCAAATTTCAAATGCTCAGGCAATGGTAGATGAAAAGATTAAATATATCCTAACCATCTTAGAATGGCTATCATCAAGGTTGTGGTAGCAAAATGCAAACCAGTTAATGTTGTGGCTATAACAATTTGCAATCAAATACAAAAAAATTAATGATGGTTTATCAGATCCTTATTACAGTAAGCATAATCAGAACATTTATAAAGTAACAAAAATCAAAATCTTTAACTTATTTACTTATAGATGATTATTATGCCAACATCATAATCATCCTACACTTAATCTCAACTACTTTCAAGTTGAGCCTTCCATTCCATCTCAATATGACCTCTGACTTGATTCATGGCTTGTAATTTGTCTCATATATCAATAATGCTAAATCACATCTTAACCCTATTGTAAGGTTTCTTTTTCTCTTTGCTTGGTTAATTTGTTCAATAATAGACACTAAAAGTTGCTCCAATGCCTATTATTTAATATTTACTAACCTTGAAATTTGAATGTTGTTGAAATTCCTAATATTGTTACTAGATTCAATAATTCATATTGATAGCTAAACTATAAATAGAAAAACTTGATAAAAAAAACAAAGAAATGAAAATTCTCATAACAAAAGAAAAAAATGCCAGTGAAAGATGGGGGTTGAAAGCTTATATAAATTTGTTAACATTTTTGGCCAAAATAATGTGACATTGGATTTGTTGCTATCTAGCAAGACTGCTTACCAATAGAATAAAAAGATGTAACAATTTAAAGAAAAATATACAAAATCAGCTTTTCATTATCCTAAAATTTGTTTAAGTTTTTTTTTTCTTTAGATATATAAAAGACTGAGAAAGAAAGCGTTTCTTGAATTGGATTTTTTTAGGAATTAAACAAAGGACAGAGAAATTTGGAAAAAAGTGATAAAAGATTAAAAAACATACAATGGATTTGAAAAATGAGGAGCTGATGTAAAGGTAGCAGCGATCATCTCTGACACAAAAACATCTGAAAAAATAACCTATGACTTTGCATATCATATGATCAAAAAATTTCACCACTGATCTTGTGTTTCACACTTTTAAAAAAAATGAAGCTTCTCCATTCAAGCTTTTAAAGAAGTTTCTAGAGAAGTTTTTTTCTTAAAATTATCCTTTAATTAGTTTTATTGACATTGCTTATGTGTCCTCTCAAGCCATGTTAGGGGATCATTTTTATATATTTTATAGAAATTAAATACACCAAACAGAATTGCATGCATTGCTAAGTATGGAAGATTACCATTGAAACATCCCTATGAAAACATGTTCAAACAGAGGGATCCGTGAAAAGATAACCCAGTAAGTAACCAATTTTATGGTGTCAGAGTTTGAATTAGCCTTAATTGGTGGATGGAAACACACCTGTTAAGAGTAAAGAAATGTTACCTTAAATGATCTTGAATCTAATCAACTATGACATATATCATCAATATGAAATGTCAAAACAAAAAAGTAAAGTTACACCAATAGAAGTAGAAAAACAAACAACAAGTTTTTAAATATCAATGTTATAAAACATGAAAAGAGAGGCTTACAAAGGATAACCCAAAGTAAAGATGGGCCTGCAAACAATGGATAAAAATGAGAAAAAAAACCATGTTCTCATCATATAAATGAAAACTGTTAAAAAAAAGCATTTTAAAAAGAAAATATAAGAGATTTAGCTAATAGATCAACTTCCTGAGAGCAATAAAATGCAAAAAAAAAAAAAAATGCAAACAATTTTCACTCATTCACCAACTTCTTGTATGTCGATAAAAGAAAAAAAAATACCATGTAATAACATCAAAGCATATCAATGCATACTTGACAAAAGTAATGAACCCATACTAAATTTAAACCCATTTGGTTGGTTTATCTTCTGAACTGACTTAAATGATGGTGGTGAACCTGAGAAAAACTTCGGTGCTAAGCTCTTTTCTCTCATTTCACGCATTTTTTTTCTTTCTTTTCTTTCCACTCAACCTTTTTTTTTTTTTTTTTATCTATGGAGTCTGTAGTATTTCCTATCTCTAGAAGTCACTAGAATTCTCTCTTTCTCTTATATTTTTTTATTCGTTCTTTTTTCACAACAAGATGATGCCAAAAAAATTGAAAAGCCCTTAAATGAAGACCCATTTGTTGCACAACAAGCAGCATAAAATTGGAACTTCAAGATGAATAGTTCTAATTTGGGGATTGCTTTTATATATTTGTATAGATTTTGGAAGTTTATGAAATTCTTGTTGTTTTTGTTGATTTTATTCTTATAAATATTTTGCTCATGCGATAGTTAAGGGATAAATTATTTTTATTTTGTAAAAATATTTATATTTATTTTTATTTTGATATATTTTTTTTACGAAGCATTATTTTGATTTATCTTAACACATGTTAATAAGAATACAATTATAGTTTGTTACTGATAATAATTTAAATAAAAAATTAAAGTTAAAATTTTAAATATTTTAGAAATAGTTATTCATTAAATATATGATTTATATCACAAATATATCTTGTAGATGTAATTGATTTTACATTTTAAAAATATTTTATATTTTATTGTACAATTTAACATATATTAATAATTGAAATTTTTTTCTCAAATCAATATTTATATATATGTAGAAAAATACTAGTTAATAGAGCTTAAATTTTTTAAAATGTTATTAAATTCATGTAAATGTATCCATTCTTCAATTTTTTTATTTTTTAATCTTTTTTTTATTTTTTTAATTTATCATTTTATTCCTTATCAAACAAAAATTTGATGGTCAAGTGACAATCAAATATTAATTGATGAATTGTCTTAAAATTGACAATTATTTTTAGAGACAATTTAAATAGTATATATAGATGTATATAGATTTATGGTATACAAAACTTTACGAAAGTTAATATAATATAATGTAAGGCACATTAATTTGATGTATAGAAAGATGTATAATATAAGATAAAAAATCATATTATCCCATACTTGATGTTTTAAATAAGAAGAGAATATCTCAAAATAAAAAAATGAGGAAATAAAATGGAAAATAAAAGTTTTTTTAGTAGACCTAATAATTTATGTATTTATATTATATAAAATATAAATAATTTATGTATTTATCATGTTTTATATGAAAATTTTATATCATAATTTTTATAAAAAATATAAAATAATTTTTTTGTTTTATTAAATTCATATATAATTTTTATTAAAAATTTTAAATCATATCATATTCATTTTTTATATTATTTTTATATTATATTATTATATTATATTTTAAATTATTATATCTATTTTTATAAGACAAAATCTATTGTAGAAGAAATGACTAATAAGATGCCTCTCATGACATCTTTACTTTGCGAGTGAAGTAATAAATTATTTATTATTTTTAATAAAAGATTTAAACACCTTTAAATTTTGTACATTTTTATTTTATATTTTAACATTTAGATAGTTTCTTCAATTGAGTTGGTATTTACTTGAGTATTGACACAAAATAACTAGTTACAGTCATAAATAATAATAATAATAATAATAATAATAATAATAATAATAGTTATTGTTAAAAAAGCAAATGATAACTTTTTAAATTGGAAAGGAGAAACCATAATTACAATATTATTTTATTTAAATAATAAAGACATGAAGTGAAACAAAAATATATACTATATTTTTATTTGATAAAAAAAATTCTAAAATCACCAAATTATTATTTTTTATCATATAAATTTTATAAGAACAAAATGAAAACAATCATCTTTGGTTGGTTTTTTTTTTTTTTTGTTAATCTAATCAATAATTTTTAAATTATAATAAAATATTTAATATGATATTTAAAATTTAAAATTTTTTAATGCAATTAATAAATTATAGATTTAGTAATATTTGTAAGATATTTTATTTTTATCATATCATCATTAAGAATTAATCACTTTAAATATAAGCATCATATGAATTAATATATTTATAATTTTTTAAAATTTAAGTATTATATTAAATATTTTACTGTATTTAGAAATTATTTATGTAATTTTTTTTTCTCCTCAGCGCATTGTTCGCTTCGTCAGCAACACCGGAAGGCCAGATTACTTAGGGAGCAAGTCGCAATCAACACAAATCATCGGCTGAGCAAAATGGAAAACACAGATTAGACAAAGACTGACAAAAAACCAAGTTGATTAAGAAAAAAAAGACAGAAATTAAAGAGAATGTCAGGTAAAGGAAGAGCTTGGTCCGATACGACGCCGCTTCTCCGCCAACTACAACAACCTCATCCAAAAATCCGTTCCCCATCCTCTCCCTCCGCCTTTTCCCACAGCATCTCATCCCCTTTATTCCTTGAAATGGCCGCCGCTATCTCCTCCTCCTCCGCTTCCCCTCGCTCCGTCTTCCTCGGCGTCGACGTTGGCACCGGCAGCGCCCGCGCTGGTCCTTTTTTCTCTCTCCCTTTTTCTTTTCTTCATGTAATAGCGATTGCGTGATTGTTTATGGTTTCAATTGAAATGCTTACCGTTGGATGGCTTGTTTGCTTAACCGTCCATTTGATATTGTATGATATGCGCCTGCCTTATTGTTTATGTTTGTGAGTTTTAGGGTTCCATTTTATTGTTATTTGTACTACTTGCTTTAGAAGAAATTTATTGATGATGAAATGATTATTTTAATTTTTTTTCTGGAACAATTATGTTGGTATGGTGTTTAATTTGAACCATATGATCATTTTTTATCAAATACTGTTCTTGCTTTTTTTTTTCTTTTAGTAAATTTGCTTCTGAGTTTATATAAACTTTTGATGAAGCTAAAGGCAAATGCAAATAGCAAAGTCAATAATTGAACTGAGCTAAGATTTATGAGATGATATCTTAAGATTTTCTATGGACTTTGTCTGCTAGAGGACTAGTTAAAAGCTGAAAAGCTTATTGAATTTCAATTTAAACATGAAATTTGCTTGCTTTCTTTCTCGAATATAATACAAAAAAGGCACATCATCCTTGTTTTTTGGGGGGTGAGGGGACCTTATTGCTGCGTTTTATTTGTTTATATATCACTGCCCTCTTCAGGTCTCTTTGATGAGAAAGGGAAGCTTCTCGGATCTGCTAGTAGCCCAATACAAATATGGAAAGAAGGTGACTGCATTGAGGTAAAAAGAACTGGAATTTCAAATGACACATGAATATAACAGACTCATTTAGTGGCTGAAGTGGCTTTCTGTGGTCCTATTACTTTTTTAATGGAGTTTATGCTGCAACTTCTATGATTGGGGAAAATATTACTATCTTCATTATTATTGTTATCATTTTTGGGGGGTGGGGGAGATTACATTTTTTGGCTAATCAAAACCATTTCTTTTTATTCCAGCAATCTTCAACCGACATCTGGCATGCAATCTGTTCAGCTGTGAAATCAGCATGCACTCTTGCAAACATTGAAGGGGAAGAGGTGAAGGGCATCGGATTTGCAGCTACTTGTTCTCTTGGTTTGTATTTGGAAACATTTATCTAACATGGTGTTTGAATGAAAACTATTTTCATTTGTGCTCTATGTCATATATTTCACTGAAAAGGTAAACATATTTGTAATATTAAGGAAAATACGGCTTCTTCTTGCAGTTGCTGTGGATGCAGATGGCTCTCCTGTCACAGTTTCTCATAGTGGTGATTCGAGGAGAAATATTATAGTTTGGATGGACCATAGAGCTGCGAAACAAGCTGAGAAGATTAATTCTCGTAACTCACCGGTGTTACAATACTGTGGTGGATCTGTTTCACCAGAGATGCAGCCACCAAAGGTACCTGGTCAATGAGTCTAACCATCCAATGGTTTTGTGTTGCCTATATTCAATATTGAATTACTCCCCAGGTTAAATCTAGTTTGAGTATGCTGCATCTTTTGATAGAAAAATAGTCACAGAACCAACTTAAATTCTGAGTGTTTGTATAGAGCACCCCATATCCAGATATACATAATAGAAAAATGGAATATGAAGTTATTTTATCCCATTGCTTTTAGGCTTAATCATAGGTATTGCAGTGTGGACTGTGGACCTAACTTGATGATGCATGGTTCCACCCAATTGTGTAACTTATGCAACCTGGTAATGTAATTGGATCTATTTGTTAAATACTTTTTGAGCAAGCCTCCTCCATTACTTATTGTTGGTAATTGTCTTGAATTTGAGGCTCTGAGCCATGAATCTTGCGGGTGCATTTTTCATTGATTTGAGGCACTCTCAAATTAACTCTTTGGTATTTTTGTACTTAAGATGGTAACATAAGCCTCCTTAACTTTGGTGAATAAAAAATAGACTGTTGGCAACATGAAGACAATGAAACAAGTATGACTATTTTGTACATAGTATCATATTTGTTGAGAAAGTGCTTTTTGGATAAGGGGCAATTATTCTGGGAAAGAGTTGTGGCAAGAGGGGGACCTAAGTGGTTGTTCTTGTTGATGTTCTCTTTTTAGTTGAAAAATTAGTTTAAATCTTGAATTATTTCAGTTTGTAGGGTTCTTGTGATCATTAGAGTTGAAATGTGGTGTTGGATGAAAAATAGGTTGTTTTGTGATAATTGCATCTAGCTTTGGCTTTCTTTTTGTCTGGTTTGTCTAGTTTCTACATCTTTTCCATGGGGAATTGGTTTGATTACGATGTTCAAATTGATAGCAAATTAGAAATGATTGTTACTTGCTGCTACAAATACCTGTTTCTTGAGCTGGGTTTCGGAGGGGGAGGGGGTTGAATTAATATCTAACTCCAATAGCGTAATGTCTGTGCAAATTTGAGTTTACTGAGCATGGTTTGTAGTTGCAATCATAAGTATGGAACTTATCAATTATTACTATTTTTCATATATGATTGTAAAGTGAAGCTAGTTTATCTATGTTTGTGTGCTATACGGACAATGATTGATAAAAATATCTTTGCAGCTTTTATGGGTGAAAGAAAATTTGCAAGAGTCTTGGGCAATGGTATTTAGGTGGATGGACTTGAGCGATTGGTTGTCATACAGGTCCACCAATTCTGCTGCTCTTCTATCTCATAAGCTTCTTGATGCCAAGTCATCATGCTTTTCTATTACCTTAATTAATTTAACCTTATTTTGTACTTTCTTTTGTAGAGCAACAGGAGATGATACACGAAGTCTATGCACCACAGTATGCAAATGGACATATCTTGGTCATGCACACATGCAACAGATGAATGAGAAAGATTCTCGAGACATGGAAGCTTGCGGATGGGATGATGATTTTTGGGAGGAGATTGGCTTAGGTGATCTTATTGAAGGCCATCATGCTAAGATTGGTATGCTTTAAGAATTTCATTTCTTGATCTTACTCTTTGGTTGGACTTTAGAAAGCTAAAGTTTCCTGTTTACATGGATAATTTTCTACAGATTGATATAATAACAACAATGAATTAAGCCATTTTCTAGTGAGGGTTGGCAATGTTGATCATATTACACCACTGTACTATATTTAGGACCATACTCAATAGGCCTGATAGAAATGATGGCCTTCCTTATAGTTTCCAACCATAATGTCTTTGTTCTTCCTCTGCCTCTCTTGACATGGGTGTCCTCTATTAGCTTTCATCTTTTCATAGGATCATTTGTAAGTCTACCTGATATATGTCAAAATTACCTTTTCCCTCATTTTGCCCTCAATGGGTGATAACCCCCTACCTTTTCCCCTATGCACTCATTCAAAAATTTATCTTATCCTGTATGTGCGATATCCATCATTTATCTTGACCTTTTTTTTTTGGGAGGGGTGGGGGGAGCATGGGCGTGGTCCTTAGTTGCCCAGCATCCATAACTGTAAAACGATACTGGTATTTTCACTATCTTGTATTTTCCTTAAGCTTTCAAAAATTTTGCAATCACTCTAGATTCTAGATGCATTGCAATTTATCCATTATGCTTAGATCCTTTGGGTGACATCTCCATCAATATCTCCAATCCTTTCTGTGATTGAACCAAGAGACTTAAAATGCTCATTTGGCAGTTAGTCAATCTTCAATTCTCCCTCTCCATTTCCATTTTGAATTTGCATTCCGAATACTTTGTTTCAGCTTTGCATAGTGACTGAACTGAAAAATCTAATACTCCAAATTCTCTTTCCATAACTCAAGTTTGGCAGTAAGCGTTCCTTTTTTCTCTACCATAGTGTATTATTCGGCAAAAATGCATTCGATAGTATACAATATCCTGAATATCTAGTAAGTTCATCCATTACTAGGGCAAAAAGGTAAAAAACTTAAAGCTAACCACTGGTGTAGGCCTATTGCTATTAAAAAATGCTCTGTCTTTACACAAGTACTCACCTATTATGTTACTTTGTTGTCCATTCAAATATCAAATACAGAAGAACATGTGACAGTGGCATCCAATGTAGAAGTGCAATGAATTTGTTAGTGCTTTTTCAGCAGTTATTATTCTTCAACTTTGAATATGCAGATACTGTATTATGAAAGTATCAGAAAACATTGAAAATGATGAGTGAAACAACTCTCTGGCTACCTCGTTAATAATTTATTACTTAACATTTTACTTTTATTGTATGACCTGACATTTTTTATAACAACAGGGCGAAGTGTAGCTTTTCCTGGTCATGCTTTGGGTTCTGGGCTTACTCCTAGTGCTGCAAAGGCAAGAAATTTTGTACTGAAGATTTGACATTGATTTCAAGTGGCGCTCCCTTGAGGTCTATTAATAAGCAAATGTACTTATTTAGATATAAGAATGCAAACATAATCCTTTTATGTGGGCTTTGAAGGGTGGTTCTGTTCATTGTTGGTCCCTAGGTCCTGGCTAATTTTTTTTTCTTTTAAAATTGTTAACTTATATTTTCAGGAACTGGGTCTGCTAGCTGGAACACCTGTGGGGACATCGCTGATTGATGCTCATGCTGGGGGGGTGGGGGTAATGGAAAGCCTACCCGAGACAAATTCTGAACCTGAAGGTTTATTGCTGGATAACTATTTCACAATTTTCTTCCCTTGCCTTATTAACAGTAATATTTTAATTTTTTGGAAAATGGTACATGCTCAGAGAATGATAATGAAGCTATATGCCATCGTATGGTGCTGGTCTGTGGGACTTCTACTTGTCATATGGCTGTATCACGGGACAAGCTGTTTATTCCTGGGGTCTGGGGACCATTTTGGTCAGGTGCAATCTCAAAATACATAATCTTGGTTACTGAGTTGTCACTGGCTTCATTAAAAACTGTCAGATAAATTCTTTCTAACTAGACATCTATATATTTTTTCATTTATAGCTATAATTCCAGCTAGACATCTATATATATTTTCATCTATAACTAGCATGTACACACACATGGCCGTACATAATGTTTGATTGGGTTAGAGGCTTCTCTCAAAGCTAACTCATTCCTTAACCATTTTTTTTTTTTTTGCCACTTTGTTTAGTCCCAATGGCATAATTTGAAAGACTTTATATAATATTATGTAAGGTTACATGCTTAGTTTGTTAATATTGGCAGATACTTATTATTAATGGTGATTCTATGTTTCCTCTTCCCTTTGTTTTTAGCAATGATACCCGAGTACTGGCTAACAGAAGGGGGGCAGAGTGCTACTGGTGCATTATTGGATTACATAATTGAAAACCATGTTGCTTCTCCTCGACTTGCAAATCGTGCTGCCTCTCAAAGTAAGATATTGGCTGCTTTCCTCTTTTTTGCGCTTCTTGGCATTGGTTTGACTTCCTATTCTCTGTTTTATATTCCAGAAATTTCCCTTTTTCTGCTACTGAACAATATGTTAGAATCATTGATGCGTGAGATGCAGTGTCCATTTATTGCTGCTTTGACTGAAGATATACATGTTCTTCCTGACTACCATGGAAATAGGTAAAGTAAATAAAGATTTGAGTTATGAGTTTCCAATTCATACTGCCATCATATCATTATGAGTTAATGATTCTACCATTGAGATGGCACAGGTCTCCCATTGCAGATCCAAAAGCAAAAGGAGTAGTTTTTGGATTGACTCTTGACACTAGTGAGAAACAGTTGGCTCGTATATACCTTGCCACGATGCAGGCTATTGCGTATGGTACACGTCACATTGTGGAGCATTGCAATGCCAATGGTCATAAGGCAAGAAGTGCATATCTCTTCTTTTTTATACTAATATTAAGCAGATATGTTTGTTTCAGCTGTTAAATGATAATAGTTTTTTAGTCCCATGTTCATAAAGTAATGGCACTCCTTTCTGGTTTTCAGAATTCCAATTATTATGAATTGAAAATGCTGCTATTTCTTTGCACATTAGGAGTTTTCTCTCCTCCTCAACCAAAACCCAAGATTTGCATCTCACTCCAGTATTTCAAATTCATGTTTCAATTTTGAATATTTTGAGTTATTTGAGGTTTTCCCCGTCACAGGTGGCCATTTCAATATTATGTTCTTATTGGTTGAGACAATTATTAAATAAACAAGGATTTTTTGCAATAAATAGCTTGAAAGCAATTTGACTTGGAATTAAGTGATTGCATCATGAAGAATCAAGCAAAGACTTTTTTGAGCTTAGCGCTGAGAGCACCTAATAATTCCTCGCAGAGTTCACAAGGTCCAGAATAAGTAGGCCACCTGCCTTAGCCTGGGTGGATAAAAATGGAATTAGCTTATCCCAGGACCAACCCAGAAGCAATCATTTCAGTCCAGTTCATAATACCTGCTTTGGCTATGTGATAAAGGGTGTAAAGCTTCCTGTCTAATTGTCAAATGATGATCTAGAACAGCTGATGGCAATTGGCGTGACCGGTTGTTAAATTGGGCCCCTTGTCACTTCCTGTCCCCCAGTTGCACTCCTTTGATTTCCCATCCTGTCTATACAACAAAGTCCAATTTTAGTGATGATTAAGGAAAGCTTAATGGTTCAATTGGTTTTTTATTTTATTTTTTGAATAAGCAAGTGTGAATTTACACTGTTCTTAGGAAACAAATATTTATCTGTAGGAATTTATGCCTGATACTGGTAAGATTTGATTAGACTTTATCAATAGATCTTGGTTCCCAAACACTGCCACTTGACCTTGATGTTCAGATAATGTCAACTTGCAAGGAGGTTCCTATTAAAAGCCATCTAACTATTGCTTGATAATTGAATAATGAATATGTTTCTGCTATTGCTATGACTGAAGAAGAGGGTTGCTTGGCATTGGGGCATTGGTTCTTTATAATTTATTTTGCCTATCCTTGAAATCCTTCCTTAATATGTCTCTCCCCCTGTGCAGATTGACACATTACTTGCTTGCGGTGGCCTCTCAAAAAATGCCCTTTTCATTCAAGAACATGCAGATATTATTGGTTTGTACATTTGTTTTCTTTCTTTTTGCATGCATGTCTGTCCTGTGTGGATGTTCCTGCTTGCACTTTACTGACTAGTTACTTTCATCTCTCTATTTATGATTAAGATTTAATATACTTATAGGATATAGCAACATAAAACCTTTTTTTTAAGGATATATGATTTTTTTGGATCAATGGTTCTTTTTCTCTGCACTTGAATGCTGAATTCCATGTTGCCAATGGTTATTTTCTACGTTGTCTTTCACGTTATTTTTTAAACTTAAGAACAGTGAAGTTTGTAGTCAGTCATGGTTGCAGCTTGCAGGTTGAGATTTTTATTTGAGTACTGTTTACCCTTTACCGATATGTAATTTCACTGAAAGTTGAAACCTGTTAGCAAATTAGTATGGAAACAAATTATTCTTACATCACATTTGTTGTAGAAGACAGTAAAACACTTTGGATTTAATTTTTGTAAATGCCAGATAAATCAAGTGAAATGGTTCAACTAGAAGAGTGTTGGATTTAGCAATGGTATTTTTGTTATAGCTGGGCACATGTTGATTCAAACTTGTGACTTTCTTGCTCATAATTTGTTATTCCTCCTTATTTTTTTTATTTTATTTGTGGGAGACCATTTGCTCATTTTTTTTTTCAGGTTGCCCTATTATACTTCCACGTGAAAGTGAGTCGGTTCTCTTGGGGGCTGCTATTCTTGGTGCAGTTGCTGCAAAGAAGTATACTTGTCTCAGTGAGGCCATGAAAGCACTCAATGCAGCTGGTCAGGTATGCAAAGCAATCCTGGTTTGTTTTTATTCTCAATTAGTTTTTGCTATTATTATGAAAAGATGTGTTACGAAGATGTTGAAGCTCCAGCTGAAAATTGAGCTAAGGTTCTTACACAAAGTGATTCAACGTAGACAAGTTAACTGATGGCAATGCATAAAATCTAGCATAGGATGGTGGTTTTGTTGTGCAAAGAACATTTGTCCTATAAGTTTGAGCTCTCTTTCATTGATTGGCATCAACTAGTAAAAAAAAGATATTTCTATGGTAGGCATTAATTCTATTTGGGCCAACGATTGGGATGATGCCTAAGTTGATATAATTTTATCCAACTGGCTAAAATTATATAAGTCAGATCTTTAGCAATTTATTTTCAATATGTGTCTTTCTAGTTAATTATAAAACCCAGATCACATCACTTAGGCTTTGCTTGGCAAGAAGGGTGGAAAAGGGATGAGAAAGAAAGTTTTGTTAATCTAAAAGGTTGAGCTACAAAGCAGGAAAATGGTTATGGATTTTAACCATTAGATTAACAAGTTTTTCATTTTCACTCTATTTCCATCCTTCCTACCAAGTAAAGCTTTAATTGATGTGGTTCAATAGATGTCTCTGATGCTAAACTTGAGCAAGTCGGTAGTTGCAGATGCCCAGCGAGACCTTCACATCGTGTCTAGTATTATATTCTTTCTTATAACTAGGTTGTCCTTGAGTAGCAAGTCATCTTAGATACATACATGTATTTGGTCTTTGAACTCTTGAAATGATGCAGGTCATTCATCCATCAAAAGATCCAAGGGTGAAGAAGTACCACGATGCCAAATACCGTATTTTCCGTGAACTTTACGAGCAGCAGCTGTCACAGCGCTCAATTATGGCTCAAGCTTTGGCATAGTTAATTTGCTACTTGGTTGCAACTCGTGAACTTCAATTGTGGCTTTTGGTTCTAACAAAATGGCTGCATGTTAAATAAGTGGGATAGTGTAAAAGTTACTGGATTACTTGTAAAGATCCACTGTAAATCATTGGTTTTGTTTTTGCATGTGAAGATTAGTACAGACAAGAGGGCCCCGAATTCCTTCAGCTTCCTCTTGGTCGTTGCAATGTTCATTCTCCGCTAAGTGGAAGCTGAATGCTTAATAATTCATATATGATATTCTCTAAGTTTATTGTTTAAATTTTAACACTTATAATCTTTTTTTACTATTCACTTATGTACAAAAAAATCTATAAGATAAATATTTTATGCTTGTTTGAGTTGAGGATATTGCGTACTTTACCAGAACTTTGGACAAATCAAGGACATAGGAAAATTTTGATAGATAAAAACAAAGCAATTTTGCTATATATTATGTAAAATATATATAAAATATAAAAATTATTGAGTTATAATTCATATTAATATATCAAGAACAAAATATATTTTTTCATTTTTATTAAAATTTTAAATATATAAATTTTACATTTTTTTTCATGTTTTTGAAGTTTATCCCTTGGATCCTTTTCTATTCATCTCAAGTCCAAAAAATCTCATTATAGATAAAATAAATTATAGTAAAAAGTTCATAGATAGAAAAACATTATAGATACATAAGTATTATAATATCCCGATATCTCTTGTATGAGGGGTTTTAAATCAAACATGAAAAGACAAAAAAGTGTATTAACCTTCAAGTTTCTAACTATTCAGATTGAAAACACCATAAAGAGGAAAAAAAAAAAAATGTTCTTTTCCTAGATTAGACAATGACTAATAATACTATAATTGCTATTTTGGAAAAGAAAAATGAGGTGGCGAGAAAAAAACAGAGCATCCGCGCAAGGGTTGAGGGAGGAGATGATAAAAAGAAGGCAGGAGGGAAAGAGAAAGAAAGATTGAAAGATGGTTGTGCCACGTGGGACATACCTGGCGTACAGCCTTGGCATCATTCCAATAAAATTCCCCATTTTTCTCCTTTGCCTGTGGCACTCGTCTTCCTCCTCTTTCACCTTCACCAATTCTCTTTTCCCCAATTTTTCTTTACTTTTTTTTTTCTCTCTTTAGATCAACCCCATATTATCATCATTCTTCCTTTTATGGGAAAATAGCCTCATCCAATCAAGCAGTGAGAGAAAACAGAAAAAAAGTTTCATTTTTTTTTTACAATACCCAATTTTCAGTGTTTTTTTTTTAACTTTGGATTTAATTTATTTCTAACTAAAGCTGATTTGGGTTTCTTTTATTGAATCTGGAAACCGCTAAATTTGGAAGCTTTGCTGGTTTTTGTTTCAGCTGTTGATGAATTTAGTTGAGTGGTAGCTTTTTTGTTTGCTTAGTTGGAGTCAGTTTAGTTTATCCTTTCTTTGGCTTTCTGCGTGTTTGAGAATTTGAGAGATTTGATGATTTCTGGTACTCTCTCTGGGTTACCAGATGGAGAATCAATCTGTTCCTGGTGTTAATTAGTGAACTTGTATATTGGTTTCCATTTTGGGTAGAGTTTTTGACACAGTTGAATTACATGGTGTGAGCTAAGAACCTTCCCATGTGTAATAAAGGAATAGTTGATAATCAAGAGAAGCATAGTAATCAAGCTGTGTATTTGATGGATTCATCTTCATCAACCCCGGCATCCTCCTCCATCCCTAGTTCCAATGATGAAACCCCGCGTGTAAAATTCTTGTGCAGCTTCTTAGGCAGCATTTTGCCTCGACCCCAAGATGGGAAATTGAGGTATGTTGGTGGAGAAACGCGAATTGTAAGCGTGCCAATGGATATTAGATATGAGGAGTTGATGAGTAAGATGAGGGAGCTTTATGATGGGGCAGCGGTGTTGAAATATCAGCAGCCAGATGAGGATCTTGATGCTTTAGTGTCAGTTGTGAATGATGATGATGTGACTAACATGATGGAAGAGTATGAGAAGTTGGGTTCGGGCGATGGGTTTACTAGGCTTAGGATTTTTCTGTTTTCGCATCCTGACCAAGATGGTTCATCACACTATGTTGATGGGGATGAGAGGGAGACTGAGAGAAGGTATGTGGACGCTTTGAACAGTTTAAATGAGGGTTCTGATTTTAGCAAGTGTGACTCTCCTGCGATGGCTTCAGTTGATGATATTTATTTAGCAGAACAGTTCTTTAACAGCATGAGCATTGATGATGGCCTTCATAGCCAGAGGAGTGGTGAGATGTTGGTGCCACCATTTAACTTGCATCATCTTACTATTCCTCATATGGGGTCTTTGCAGTTCCAGCAACCAGTTCCTCAGAGGTACAATGAAATGGAAGGTCCATGGAGTCCTGCTTACTATTCTCCTAGGCACCATGGACACCATGATGCCAGAACGCTATCAGAGTTTCCACCTTCACCATCTTCTTCTCATTACCGAGTTCCATTTCCAGAATTACCAGACAAATGCTTGGATAGAATGCCTGAAGAATATATGCGGCAGCAATTAAATCATCATCCCCAATATGAACACCAGCCACAGTTTTCAGATAATGTAGTATGGATGCCAACCGGAGTTATTTCTGGGGATAAGACTAGTAGTTTTCCTGGTAACATACTTCATGGTCATGGTATTTTTGAAGGGAACAACATCTGCGAGCACTGCAGGGCTACTTTCTGCAGAAATCAACCACCACATTTGGAGCATCCCAACATGGGAAATGGAGTTCCTCAGGTTAATAATCCATGTACTGAATGCCCCCCAAACCGGGAAGCTTTCATGCTGAATGCAGATGGGAAATTGGATCATGGGTTTTATTCCAAAGATCAAACTGATCCCTGTTCTGCTTATGGTGAGACACACAGTCGTGAAAGAGGATGGGTTTTGCAGCACCGATTGAACCCTCGTGTTGAGGAAGCGAGAAATCATTCACCTGGAGCTGGAGGATTGAATGACCACTATGTTCTAGATGGTGCTGGCATGAATTTACCTCTTGGGCATGCTAGTTTAACTGATGGCCATCATCTGCCCTCAAACTTTGTTCATTACCAAACTGGATCTGAATTGGGGAATGAAGTGTTTCCGGGTCAAGCTGTGGTTGCTTCATCCCACCTGCACATTTCTCCTGAAGAATATGGAGTACGCTATGGGAATTATCCTTACCCATATGTAGGAGATAATGTTTACCAAGCATCACATGGACATGTCCACGTACAGTCTTTATGGAGAAACGTTCAGAACCCAATTCATGGTGGGCCTGCTTATGAAGCATCTGGCTTACCCCCCCAGCAAGTAAATGGTGCAGTTAACTCTGCATTTTTGAAGGGCCTGGCAGAAGGTAGTGCAAGGCTTTGTGTTGCAACAGATAATCAAAATCCTTGGGTTGAGTCTTCACAAAAGTTGCTGGGTTTTGATGGGACTGCTGTTCCAGACAATGCTTGTGCGCATCCTCTCAAGGTGAATGCTGGCCCTCATGGTCAGGAAACTCAACACTCTGGCACTATTGAACCAGTTCGATCCCCACAAGATATGCTAAATTTTGCCACTTCCACAGAACATGTGCAGTCGCCAGATCAACCTTCAACTTTAATTCATGATATATCTGTTTCCAGTAACAATCCAAAATCCCTAGATGATTCTAATGCCACTGGAGCATTGAGGATTGAGGAGAAAATTGCTCCCATGGAAGATACAGAAGCAAACCATGTTGTAAAGATGGAAAAATCTGATGTTCCAAGTATGTGCTGTCCAGAGCAAATAAAAAATACTGAAGATGAATCTAAAGTAGCATCTGTTGAGTCTAGCATTTCAAAGTGCTTAAAACTTGCTGAAAAGGGTGGTGAGCAGGCAAAACCTGGTGAAAAGGATCCTAGTGCTGCTGAAAATTCAAAGCTATCTGTAAACCGATTGAGTTTCATACCAGAGTTTGTTGCTTCAGTTAAAAAAGCAGCTTTAGAAGAGGTTGAAGAAGTGAAAGCCAAAGCTGAAGATGGTGCCTCTGAGAAGTGTGATGGAGTTGAAAAAGAAGCTGCTGTAAATGAATCTGAATCAGCGGTGCGATTGAAGAAAAATTTCTATATTGAAGAACTTTTTCAATGTTATATTTTTCTTTTTCTAATATCTTTTTGCACTCTAGAATGCCCATGGGGAGTTGGAATTGGATTCTGATAATGACAACATAACCCCTTCCAAAATTGAGCCAACAAAGGCTGAGGCAGAAGCTATTTCAAGAGGCTTACAGGTCATTGTTTTCTTTTCCTTTTTCCTCATATTTACTTTAATTTCTTTCTCACTATTATTTCTTAAGATCATTGAATTTTTTTACTTTGTTTGCACATGTTTTGTTACTTTGTTTCTGATGGTAATTGCGTTTTACCTTCAGACAATAAAAAATGATGATCTAGAGGAGATCCGAGAATTAGGCTCTGGGACGTATGGGGCAGTTTATCATGGCAAATGGAAAGGTTCTGATGTAGCAATCAAGAGAATTAAAGCCAGCTGCTTTGCAGGGAGGCCTTCTGAAAGAGAACGTTTGGTAATAACTATTTTCAATTTTCCTTTTCATAAATTTTGTTTCTTATCCTTGAAATATATATCCTTGTAATACAAGGCTGCTTGATGGTCAAAAGGGTGAATTCACCAGATATGTCTTATATGTCATAGATGTTATGGTATTTGTTTATCCGTGTAGCGAAGTTTTAAAGGGATATACCACAGTAGAAAAGCTTGTGAGTTGGTTATAAGTTAAAAGGGAAATAAGCAAAGTTCATGTTTTTTGCAACCTTTTTTTTTTTCCAATTATTGCACAATGACTAAAAGATAAGTGCTTATAGAACTTGAAGAATGAACCACTATGTTGTTTCACACAGAACAAAAATATAAGTGGTTTATAACATTAGTAATAAAGAAGAAATTATGTAGCTTATCATTGCTTTTTCTATGCCTTCACTCAAGGCATATGGTGGCTTATAAAGCTTGGATCATTACCAAAAGGAAAAGGTGAAGGAGAATTCTTATAAATATTGTGAAGCAATTTAGCTGGTGGATTGAATGTTGGAAATTTCCGTTTCTACTTATGACATCATAGAAGGGTGTCAAAGAATAACTTTGCAGTAATAAACTCTCTTCCTGCCAATTTGTTCCTCTTCTTTCTTTCCTCTTTGGCAGGATCCTGGTTGAGAGGTTTTGTTATCACTATGATGAGAGTTCCTTGTTGCCCTTGTTTATGATTGTCCTACCATATGTTCCTGGAAAGACCAGCTTTTGCTATTTGCTTTTTATATCTTTCTATTTTTCTTTCACACTTGGTCTTTTTGTTTTACCGTTTCAATTTAATACCTGTGCATGGTGGCTGTTAAATCAAGGATATTTTGTGGGACATGGTTCAATTGTTATTTTTTTAGTCCCTCTCAAGTATTCTATTTTCAAAGTTCTCATGATATATGATATTTTAATGCTTCTCATATATTTATTGATAGCAATCTCTATTTTTGTGCTGCCATAGATTGCAGATTTCTGGAAAGAAGCTTTAATATTGAGTTCATTACATCATCCGAATGTTGTTTCTTTCTATGGTATAGTTCGTGATGGTCCTGACGGATCCTTAGCTACTGTTACCGAATTCATGGTTAATGGATCCTTGAAGCAGTTTTTACAGAAGAAGGACAGGTAACATGTTAATAGCTATGTGGTCAGGTTGCCATTTGAGCATCTTCACTATCGTTTGTTCTATAATTGTTGTTGTTTGCCTTAGTATGCACCTTTTTTCGTTTCATGGTAGACTAAACAAGCCAGAATGTAATATTTCCCTAAGTAATATGTGTGACACAATAATGTTATTGAGCAGGACTATTGATCGTCGTAAGAGACTCATCATAGCCATGGATGCTGCATTTGGAATGGAGTATTTGCATGGAAAGAACATTGTACATTTTGATTTGAAATGTGAAAATCTGTTGGTAAATATGAGAGATCCACAGCGTCCAGTATGCAAGGTATGCTGTCTTATAAATTGTTCTGGAACTCAAAACTTTAAGTTGGGTTTGGGTATGGTGTTTGGTGTTGGGGAGATGGGGGGTCAGCAAAACTTTTTTTCTTCCAAAGTTTTCTGGATGTTATTGTCAGCTTGTTCTGATTTCTGTAATAGTGGCAGCTTGCTAAGAGTTTCAGCTTGAGCTCGTTTCTTCAGCATAGGCTCTTCTTACCTTGGTCTTCAATTGATTCTTATTATAAATTTTTTTTTCAAGGATGTTAGTATTAGTTTTCTTATGATGGTTAATGGAGTTGGAACTCATGCAATGCACGCATACCCTTTTAGATTGGCGATTTGGGCTTGTCAAAGGTCAGACAACAGACATTAGTTTCAGGAGGTGTTCGTGGAACTCTACCCTGGATGGCACCTGAGCTTTTGAGTGGTAAAAGTAACATGGTATCTGAAAAGGTAATATTACATACAGACTATAGAAAATCTGGAAACAGATACAGCTGTTTTCAACATGAGTTATTTGTTTCCTTTGCTTCTTAAGACATTGCATTTTTTACTAATTTTATTTATTTTTTATTTGGCCAGAGACTAATCTTATTCATGTTTCATCAATTTCTGTGCTTCAGATTGATGTCTACTCTTTCGGGATCGTTATGTGGGAGTTACTCACTGGCGAAGAACCTTATGCAGATATGCATTGTGCTTCTATAATTGGTAATTGTCATAAATTGTAGTATCTTGTATGTTGAGAGCGATTTGCTAAATGTCTTCGTTACATTCAGCTCAGAATCTTTGTTACTTTGTTTCTTCACTTTACGCTGACTAAATATCTGGTACACGTATTGGACATGTCCATCAACATATTCATTTGGCTCTAAGGAAGAACTTACTAAAGATCAAACATTCCTTTGTGGGATGTGGGTCTATGCCTGACAGTCATAAATGTGGCCAGCACTGTAGCAGTGATTATTTCTTATATAAATATTAACTAGGTTTTGTTAGAATTTCTCTTTTTTATTTACAGTTTAATTTTCATATCAACCTTCATTTGATAGCTGGAAAAAAATGGAGGAAGAATAAGAAAAAGAATTTGGGAAGATTTTTAGTTTATGTTTTGAGGGAAGGGAACTTATGCAATTTGTTTAACACATCTGGAAGTCGATCTGTTACTAAAACATCAGTTTCTGTGACGATAGGCCAATGGCACCATGTTTGCTTTGGGTTCAAGTTGTCATTTCTTAGCCAAATTGTCTCTTGACTTGTAACAGAGTCATGATTGAAATGCATGTATCTGTAACTAGAATTGGATCTTCTACAGGTAGAAATGACCTGAATTATTTTTATTCCGGGTTGATCTGTTCTAGCAGATGATCTGAATTTTTGGTACTTAAATTTTATGCATGAGGTTGATTTCTTGAGTTCTATGCATGGAGAACATCCGTAGTTGCACGCTTTGCATGCACGCAGAGAAAGACAAGGGGGAGGGTGTTTGGAGATGCCCCGGGGGAGGTGGGATGAGAGGAGATTCCTTGTTAATTCTGAGTTTTTCATATGTCTTTGCCTTTAGACTTAAGGTGAAAGCTGAACCTTGTTCTGTTCTTCAATGTTAATTGTTTTAGTATATTCTTGTATAATTGGTGCTATCCATCTAATTTACTGCTATTGAACCTTGAAACTATTAGTTTTTGTAATGTTTGAACTTAGGCTTATTTATAATCTTTAGGTGCTGTTTTTCAATTCCCTATTGGTGCAGTACTGGAGGAGAAACAGGGTAGGGAGAGAAAAGAGAGGAAAGAGAGAAAAGAGAGGGGAAGGGAGAGAAAAAGAGGGACATACTAGAGGGTAAGAGACTACTTTCAATATCCAAATATGGGAAAGTTCTTGAAACATTATGATAATCTGCTTTCATAATCCAACCCTAACCGTCCTTCTAACAAATGGGGGAAATCCCATAAGTCTAAACAATAATAAAACCCTAATAATGCCTCAGAGATGATCCTCCATCATTGATTTGTAAAAGCAGTGGTCTAATCAAAGTTGTCATGTCTTTGTCAGGGACAAAGTTTGTAAGTTTTAACTATTCTAGCACTATCCAAGCATGGTTTGCTTGTTAACAATTTCAGCATTGTTATTTACTGTTCATTCGACGAACTATCCTACCGATTAATAAGCAATTACTTTCTAAAAGAGAAAAAAAGAAGTGACTTCTTTTCTTTATTTTTTTTTGTTTTCTTTTGTTTGTAGGTCTAAGTTTGATGCAGTTTGTTTATCAAAGAATTTAGTATATACTTATCAAAGAAGATAAGTATGAAGTTCTTTGTTATTTGAAATAGAAGAGAAATCAATTGTCGGATATGGACTTCTAACACATTTAAATATAATTTAAAGGATCTTTTCTAACTTACGCGTCGTCGTTCTATTAGCATGCATGCTTTTGGACTTTACTTTCAGATTATATGTGTAGATGTGAACTTGGCCTGTGAATGGATTTTTTATTGCAATCTCTTCCAAAAGTTTCTTCTTTTAATATGCAGGGGGAATTGTAAACAACACTTTACGTCCAAAAATACCATCATGGTGTGATCCTGAATGGAAGACTTTGATGGAAAAGTGTTGGGCCTCTGATCCTGCAGAGAGACCTTCATTTTCAGAAGTATCTCAGAGGCTGAGGAACATGGCTGCTGCAATAAATGTAAAATAAAGCCAATCCCGAAACAAGGATTTCACTTTCTCGCCATCGTTCTGGGAAAAAGAAAAATAAGAGGCCCAGTTACTGCAGTTTAAGGTCATCTACTGGTTAGGCTAATAATACACTACTATGCCTTGGTTCTTCTGTAATGGATCTCTTATAGTACTGCCACGAGTTCTTTCAAGAGTGCAAATATATACACTCTGGGCTGAATTATACTCAGGGAGACTACATAACATACGGAGAGCCATGAAAGTTCAATTGGGATGTGGGTTTCGCTTCTTACAATTTAATCATAAATCTTGCGCAAAATGGTTTTTTATGATCATTAACAGGTTTCAACTTCCCCACTCAGGACTGTTGCTATTTGGCGTGCAATGAAGATGGTGGTACTATGGCTGAATGCATCTATCATTTGAGATGGGACACAGATTTTTTGAAGATCTGTATATAAGCTTATGGTAACTTAAGACAAACATATTATTATTATTATTAAACCGAGAATGTTCGTATATATATATATATATATGGTGTAAATTGGATCTCAGATGTATATGATTATTTCAAAAGGGTCTTCCCATTCAATGATGATTGTGGCTGTGTGAAGCTCGAATGCTTCAGCGCTGCACTTTCCTTAGATACTAGGAGTTTTGAGAACTTAAAAAGCACTATTCCATTTAAAATATCCAAATGTTTGCTCTGTAAAAACCAATCTAACATTGAATTATTATGTGCAGTTCTATATATAATTCCTTAAAAACAGCAGAGATTCGGTGGACATTGTATTATTATGATGGCAAGGAATCTTTAGTTATAAGATTGTGCTTGGTTGTTGAAGGGGTTTGCTGCCAGGAAAAGTGAAAATTAACTAAAATATTACATGGAATAGCCTCCATTAACTGAGTGAAATAATGGTTCCATGCAAGAATTCCCTGCGCCCCCCACCCTTCCAATAAAAAAAGGGAAAGAAAGGGAGAAAAGAACACAAAATCAAGAGGCAATCCTGTTTGGTTGATATTCGTACTCTGTATGTCCCACTTTCACTGACCAAAATTGTGATACACTTATTGAAAACCAAAATCAAGAGTGATAAATATTCAAACATTTGATGGACTTTATTCCTCTGTACAACAGTGCAAGTTCTTTTTATATGTATGAAATTAATGTGGCATGAAGGGTTTTTTAAAAGTTTTTAATGATTAAAGAAATGAGGTGAAGTAGGAATTAGCATGGCAGCACCAACTCTCCAACGCAAGCAAAACACCACAGGGTCAAATACTGTGACACCATCATCTCCACCCCCCTAACGCCCTTTGGCTTGGCTCTCTAGAAACCCAGATGCTATATCTTATTCTCATGCACCTAACACGCGGGAAAGACTCTTTGTTTACAAGTCAAAGTTTCCAATGTGCCATTGACTTCTCAACATAACCTTTATGTACGTACGTAAGTACTTGAGTTTTATGGATATTGGGTTTTCGAAAGACTATTGTTGGAATTGGATTTTCCTCGTCTCTCTCATTTGTAATTCATTTTATTTGTATAACTAAAAAATAGAGATATTATCAGATTAGTTACATGATTACGAATATATCTTTTAATATTGTTAAAGTATTGATGATTGTTTTCAAAACATTTACCCACCCACTAATGAGAATTCATCCTATGGTAGTTTGGCTTTTGTCTCTGTTCAAAAGATAAAGAGACAAAGGTCTGAAAAAGCCTCACTTTCTAGTGTGTGATGCAATCTAAGACGCATTTTACATTGAAATTTATGCATGGTCTCTAGGTGAGTAAACTACTGTAACCAGGGAAGAAATATCAGAAAGAAAAAAATGCTCAATTATAATGCTCCACATCACAAAAAAAAAGACTTATTATGTCTTGAAATCAGTCTTCCATTGACTCCACTTGTGGAATTTCTCAAGGAAACAACAAAATTCCAAAAACCATATATACGAATATGATGTAAAATTCTGGCTAGTGAAATAGAAGGTGACATGTCGATTCCTTGGATGCTGAAAGGAATTGGTTTGTTACGAAAATAAAAATAAACAAAACAAAGAAAAGCAACAGGAGTTGACATTTGTTGATAACTTGAGGTAGGGGGTAAAGCTTGGAGACCCCATTTGAGCTCAGTAGCATGCGTCCATTTGTAGCGTCGTTTTGCCCTTATTTTACAAAAAGTGCATGAAAGATAATGACATGTTTGATTAATTAACTCAAATATGCCGATAATTATACATATTATTAAGAGAGTTGAGCAAGTCAGCCGTTGGTGTCATATTCAAGGCAATATTGTAAAGAATTAAACAAGTAATATGGTGTGAAAGTCCACCATTTGCATGCCTCATTGTCAACTTAGCTGACTATTTTTAACGATCTTTCCTAGTTCTTTCTGATTTTTATCTTGGAAATTAACTCAAAATCTTATCTTGATCTTTGGGTAGTAGAAATATTGAACCTGGAAATGACAGGTGGATTTAGAGATCAATAAAATAACATGAATCATCAAATAAATGATTAGTATATATAGTTTCTTTGAACTTATAGTTATTGTCCTTTTACATCACGCCTGATATTCATCCTAATGGTGTCCATTTTCAAATACAAAAGAAAAAAAATGTAACAAGATGAGAGAAGGCATGCCTTTTTTTTTCTTTTCAAAGGTAGTATATATGGGAAAGTCCTAAAATCTTATAGATCACATCCCTCTTAAGGAGTAGTAACAAGCTAAATTGATTTGGTGGTTATAGATAAAAAAAAGAAAGGACTGCAATAATGTAGCTACATATGTACTATACCGTTGGATTTTGCCATTTTGGCTTAATTTTGAGTAAATGCATATGCATAGGTGATATAGGTCTAGTTTTAGACCCTCAAAAGAAGGGGTCAAAAAGCAAAAGGGATGAGCCAATCCCCAGAGGATAAAGGCCTAAGAAAATCAATTAACTTTCTGCTAATGCTTTCTCCGGGGATCTAAAATAAACTTTAGATATGTAGAGAAAAGGAGGAATCTTGAGTTTATTATTCTAGAAAAACCATTCCAACTTCAGTTAATTTTGGAAGGAGCAACACTTTTATCAAAGTATCCGAAAAGCAGTTGGCCAGTGTAAAAGCAATCAACATGAGGGTTGGATTAAGTGGTTAACCCTCTTTTTTTTTTAAAAAAAAAAAAAAAACATAAATTAAAGACCCCAAACTCATGATAGAACGATTGGTTAAACCAGGAAATCAGCAGCTTCAAATGTCAATTTCTGAATTTAATCCTTTTTTTACCTCCCAAACTTCAGAAAAGAGAGGTTTATAGATCTGCCATTTGCAATTAACCAATCCACCTTGAAACTATTCAATCAGCTTTGTTGATATCTATCTCAACTACCCAATTCCAATTTTGTTCCGAAAATGCAATTGGATTATCCATTGAACTTGAATCAACAGTTTAGGTAAGAGAGCCAAGTAAGAAAAAATTAGATTCCCACAAACAAAAGTCAACCAACATTTTGTATGTTTGTTATCATGTATTAAACCAAAATTGATTAAGTACCCTGGTCTAACAAAGATATAGAAATCTTCACTAAAGGAACCAATTAGTTTGCACTTAACATCAATCATCACTCCATTATTGTTATTATTATTGTGTGCAGCCAATAACCATCCAAGCTTATCTTTTTATCAAAGGACCCCCACCCTTTACCAGCTCTCACTCAAGGAGTCTTAAGCTTTGGTCTTGTTTATGATGAAATGCAGGTGTTTGTATGCCAATGCATAGATTCTTGTGTTAAGAGAAAAGACAAGCAGAAATATGCTTTTTTCTTTTTAAATCTATAAAAGAACTGAGTCCCTTTACAGATTAAGATATCAATATTTTGAAGGTGCGAGTGCTTTTCAATTTTGATAGTTTTCCTCTTGTTATTTCTATGTAGTTGGGGTTCTGGAGTACACCCTTTTCTTTCTTCTCCTAGCTTAATAAAATCCCCGGGAAAAATTATTATTATAGTAAGGAAACCAAGGTCAATGAGTGGTGCTACTTCTAAAAGGTTTGAATACTTAATCCGCTTCCCTTTGGCATTTTGTCCCTTCACTTTTCTTAAAGTATTGCCTTCCCTTATTTTTCAGTTAATTACACAGCAACCCTAGCTAGCCAACTTGTAACAGTTAGAATATGAACAGGCGTTAGAGCAATTTTGATGATATTGTGATTATTTTTTTTATAAAGGAAGTCACAATTTTGAAATAAGACATAGGTTTTGAAGTGTTAAAATTTAAATTTCAAATCTGTTATCTCTTAAGTGTGATTATATAAAACAAATTAATAAAGTTTCTTATTTGATATTATAATTGTTTAGTTCTTATTATGTGAGATAAAACAATAAATTTGACCTTAAAATTTTTTTAAAGAATAATTTGTGTTTTTTAAAAACAGTTTAGCAAAGCTTTTATTTATATAATTTAGCAATATTTTTATAAATTTTGCTTTTATTACAACACTTCAATACAATATTTGGAATAGATTTGCTATTGAAGAGATTTGCAAATACTAGCAATTAATTAGATATATATAATACAAATACATAGTAGTTTTTTATTTTTTTATTTTTTTGCTAAATCAGAGTTTATTTTATAGAATAGTCTAGAAAGCCTTCTCAGGCATACATAATATAGTTCATTACTAAAGGTGAAAAAGGTTTTAATAGTATAATGTACATTTTAAATTTCACGGCAAAGAATTAATTACATAAAAAAAAGGGAAGAGAGAGGGAAGAGAGAAACCATTTGTCAGCTTTATCACTTACATTGACAAAGTGAATAATGTAAGTGGAAAATATGTTTGTAAAGATCCACATGCATCATTTGCGAGGTTGATGTGGCTTTTATTGACCTTGGCTTTCTTTTATAGGCTTTTCTTCTATATTTTTGTGTACTCAGATTAGATTTCAATGCTAGCTTAGATGTTTTTCCATGACTATGATGTGTCTACTGTCACCATGATTGACACTTTGACAACAATAAGAGAAAGAATGATTTTGATTACATTGTTGGGGTCTCTTAATTGGTCAAATATTTAGTGTTTTGGACTTGATTGTAGTCGCAAAAGCAGTTTCTAGCTAGATTGGCAACTGCTTTAATATGTTTCACATGTGCAGTACAATGCTTGACCATTCCATCAGACCAGGGACTAAGGGCACTGCGCACGTCAAAAAGCCAAGGCTAACCATTCCATCAGACCAGGGTGGCATAGCATCGTAAGCTAGCTAATTCAAAGAAGTACTTTCACCGTATCGAGTTTTTTTTTCTTTGATTTCAGGTTCCCCAAAAAGATATTATATCAATATTATGAGTTGGCTACACCTCTTAGCAAGCCTGAATCGAGTTTTAATTAAGCATGTATGAATCAACTTTTTTGTTTTTGCTATGCCAAAGTTAGATTGTATGAATCAACTTTATTAGGTGCTAAAAATATTATCAGAAATTAATTTAATTAAATTCGAAAATTTTATATATGTTTATCAAAAGAAAGGTACGCATCTTCTGTGCTTAAAAGTAAAATCAAGGGGATAGATCATGGATGGTTTAATATGTGTAAAAATGAAGTTTCCTTTTTCAGAATGAAGCTTCTTTTGCTTTCTTTCTTCAAAGAACCAAAGAAACATTATTGTTTCAAAATATCTTCAAGTAGACTTGGAGAAATGGTTGCCAGTCTCAGTTTGTCCAACACTGGTTTTCCCATATAGATTATTACTTTTCCAACTAACATACGTATCTTAAGGTATGCTCTCATAATATACCATATGACCACAGATCTTAACACTTGGCTGTCATTCCAAGAAACTTCCCCCAGTAAAAATTATCATAGATATCAAGGATTATATATGTTAAAATTAATAATTTTTTATCTTTTGTGTTACAATTGGATTCAAATTCGAGATACTCAATTTCAAAATCAATTACAATATCACTGAACTAACAATTCATTGGTGTTAAAATTAATAATTAAACATATTTGGTTCAAATAATTCACTTATATAGCTCTAATCTCTTGGTCTTCTTTAATTAATCTTTTTTACATGTAGCAGCCAATCATGTGCATTAAATTAATTTTCCGTATACAATAATCCTCTAAGCGTAGTCTAATTAATTAAGTTTAAGCATAGATTAATAATGGAACAATTCAATGATATAGAAGAAAAACTGAAAGGGGAGAAGGTTTTTTTTCATCATGAACCAGTACATGCAGCGTTGGGTCCAATTCGAAATAATAAACTAATCAAACTGAAGAAAAAGCAGTGCAATTTAAAATGCAAAAGAAGAAGAAAGTCGTGATATACTTTGTCTAGTTGTGATAATAGTTTGAGCAAACTAATCCAAACAGTAAGAGAGAATAACACCTTGCTCAAACGCTAGATCGAGAGGAAGAGAAATATAGGGTTGAATAATGAAGGTGTGTGTGTGTGTGTGTGAGAGAGAGAGAGAGAGAGAGGGGGGGGGGGGGGTCAGTTGTAAGACCTTTTTGTCCTCATAAATGCCTTATGTCACCCGGTAATTCTTACCTATAAATCTTGGTCTTTGCTTTCCCCATTTTCCCCAAACATCTAAGCAGCTTTCCCTTTGCTCTTCCTTTGCTTTGAAGAAAGAAAAAGAAGAAAAGAAGCACACGTACGGGCGAGATGGGTCGAGCGCCTTGCTGTGACAAAGCCAACGTGAAGAAAGGTCCATGGGCACCTGAAGAAGATGCTAAGCTCAAGGCTTATATCGAGAAGTATGGCACTGGAGGCAATTGGATTGCTCTTCCTCAGAAAATTGGTGCCCTATATTCCTACATGAACTTTTTTCTTGTTTGTTTCTTAGAATGATTTGTATTGGGGAAATTCATTGGCATGTTCCTATAAGATTGATTGACTTGACCTTTTGTATTTGTTGGGTAATATTCACAGGCCTTAAGAGATGTGGGAAGAGTTGCAGGCTGAGATGGTTGAATTATTTGAGACCAAACATTAAGCATGGTGGATTCTCTGAAGAAGAAGACAACATCATCTGCAGCCTCTATATAAGTATTGGAAGCAGGTATACTCTTTTTTCTCTCCAACTATATATTAGGCTTGGATTGCTTGTCTTTTTATTCTTTGTCCTTGATATCCTCCACGAAAATATATGCAAGACCTCAAAACTGTACAGTCAGATCTTTTTTTCCTAGGGTTTCTATAATTCTTCTTTTGTTCTTCCTTGCTTCGTCTCTTCTTGTTGAGGATAACTTTGAAAGGACTGGATCTACTTTTTAGGTGGTCCATAATTGCAGCCCAACTGCCTGGAAGAACAGATAATGATATCAAAAACTACTGGAACACTAAACTGAAGAAGAAACTACTCGGGAGACGCAAACAATCTAATTACAATAATAGATTGTCGCCCTCGAATCAGGACCTTAATGAAGCCAAGGGGGCAGATGATAATCAATTCTCACAGGGTTTAAGCAACTCAGCCTTGGAACGACTACAGCTCCATATGCAACTTCAAAGTCTTCAGAATCCTTTCTCTTTCTACAACAATCCTGCTCTATGGCCTAAGATTCATCCCTTGCAAGAAAAGATGATCGAAAGCATCCAGGCCTCGAATAGAAACCTTCTTATGCAACCTCTCCTGCAAAACCCTCAACCTGCAAATGAACAAAGTGCTGATGATTTCTATGACCAACCTGCTGCTACAGCTTCTCTGGTGCAACGGCAAGATTATCCAAAAATCAGCAATGCCAAGGAACTTGAATTGGATAACTTTTCGGATGGAATATCTCCATCAGATGGCCCAGCTCCCTTTGGCACAGGAGACAATTTGATGGACTCGGAAACTGTACCAAAGACAGATGGAAATGATCATCACGGAATACCACAACCAATTAATGAGGCTATTCAACCAGTTTCAAACTTCCAGGCTGAGCTGGAAGAGTTTTTCAATAACAAAACAGCTGGTTATACACCACAGGAAGACCAAATGGCTGAATTCGATTGCTTCAAGGAGATGAATGGTTCAAAGGACAGCTTAATTTGGTGGTCTAGTGACTTTGATGCAAAATCAGCATCTTCCAACTCTTGGGATTCAACTTCTGTTCTTCAATCCAATGGAATGTTTCGAGACTATGAATTAGGTTATAATATGTAGCTAGAGAACCAAAAAAAAAAAGGGGGGGGGGGTAGGGATTGGTTCAAGGCTTTAAGTTGGTTGTGGACATAAGATGGGGAACACTCGGATTTCATACAGAGATCATGTAAATTGTGTGAATAATAATGTTAATTTTCTTCTAAGTGTCTTACCAAATTTGAATGGTGTGGTTATAACTGTAGTTGCTTTACCTTTCTTCTAGAGATTAAAATGCTTTGAGACAAATATATATTGACTGAGGTCTTCCTTAGAATGGAAATAAAAAAAATGAGTGGGGTTTTTTTCTCAATCGATAAGAATCTATATGTACATTTTCATATTTATTGTTTGCATGAGCACAAACAAAATAAACACATATTTCCATGTATCTAAAACATGGGACAAACATCACATATTTCAAGTGTTACGTTATCACATTTATATCGAGACCTAAAAACTTAGAAAAAAATAATACATTCAAAAAGAAAATTAGGAGTATGGTGCATGCATGTTAAAAATAGGACCACGACATACCCTAGGTTTGTGCTGCTGCATTATGTGCATCAAGGTTTCAACTTGCAATGAATAAAACAATAAGCAAAGGCATTTGGGACTCTAGTGCAATGACTTTATTATGTTGTTCCCTCAGTTCCAAGATTCCATGGAGAGAATAACCTGATTGACATTGGCATTTCAAGGCCTTCGAAATATACATGGAAAAATGGGGTAATTTTGTGGTGTAGAAGCCAGAAAGTTACTTGGCAACTGAAAAATTACGCAAAAAGGGACTTCAGAATTTTTATTTACCTTTTGTTCGGCAAACCATATATGTAAAGATTAATTGGAACTCATGGTTTATTATTTCACCTTGTACTGCCAAAACACAAAGAAAAAAAACAACTTACTGCTCGCACAAGAAACATGCATCTTCCCCCTAATAGCCTACCCAAAATTGCCTTTGTTTTGATGAATTTTATTGGTTATAAGTTATAACAATTAACTTTTTATTGTTGAAATTAGTATGGGAATTTTTTAAGGGGCCCCTAATTTTTAGGTGTTATTTTTTTAATATAAAAGGATTTGAACTGAAGTCTTTATATTGGAAAATACATAGATTGTACATGTGTGGTGAGTTAAAATTGAATTTCACTAATATCTCACTTCTTTGCCAAGGAATTTCACCTTTTTTTTCCTGGTAATTTCCACCAGTTTCATACCGTTAAAGCAATTCTTTTTAACATGTTTGAATATTGGGCTTAGGTAATATGTTGATTGGATTCGTAGGAGCAGTTTCTATTATTCTTGATGTTTTTATTTGGGCGGGTTAAAAAAGGCTCACCTCAATGGGCCAAGCATGCAACTGATCAGAAAATCAAAATAAAAAGGAAATGCGGTGAGCGTGGATCGAACACGCGACCTTCAGATCTTCAGTCTGACGCTCTCCCAACTGAGCTATCCCCGCTTCTTGCTTCCCTCGTGGGTTGAGGTTCATCTAATTCAATATGTACGTATTATGTGCTCATAACACTAACACAGAATTCTCTTTCAATGGAAAAACTTCTAAATTTAAAGAGAAGAATTACACAAAACTGCTAAAGCATGATGCAGTCAAGCCCTCATGCAAATGTCAAGTCTTTCCCTTCACCCTTCATGTCAATGTCATTCATTTTAGTGGCAACCATGTGGATCTCACAAATAGCTCGTCATGCAAATGCCAAGTCTTTCCCTTCACCCTTATGCCAATGTCATTCATCTTGGTGGCAACCATTTGGATCTCACAAACAAAATGGGGCTGTTACAGCAGCTGCCACAGCAGGCAGTATGGCTGCTGGTGCCACTGTTTTAAACACAGGCAACACTGCTTTTGCCGCCCCGGCAATATTTTCTTCATTGGGCATTGTTGCTACTGCTGCTTGTGTCACCGTTGCCATGGTAGAACTGACAGAATGCACCATCTCTACCAGCGGACCCCAAATAGCCTCGTCTCTAACTCTCCAACCTTCGTTAATTCAATGGCACAAATGACAGGATTGTGTTGTGTCCCATTTATATACCAAGAAGGGGAAACTTGCAACTATAGGCAACTTCTCATCGATCAGAGTGCCCTACATGAATGGCAAATTGGTAGATGGGTAGTTCATGAACCTCGATATATTACGATTTTCTTTATTTTGTACAATCAAACCAAATTTAGTTTAGTTATCTTAAGCGCATGTTTCTTCCTATTCCTCGTGTAGACACTAGATAGACGGGCAATCCATGGCGCAACAAAATTTTGAAGCAAAGCACCTTTTGTTTTGATCTTTGCAAACATAGAAAAAGCCAAGAAGGTTGTCTCAACGTACGTTAATGGAGAAATGGACCCATTTTTTAAAAATAGATTCCACTAACTTCTTGGAATATACATCTCGAGAACAGAAACAAAGTATTTTGGAGTCTTTTACCAAAGCAGTTACTGTAAAACTGAGACGGTGCAACGAGTCAAATTTGTCATGTTGACAGCTGAAAGCATTGTTATTCTGGTTCTAAATGGACTTAAAAAAAAGCATCTTATTCTGGTTCTAAGTGCACTTCAAAGAATAAGCATTTAATGCTGGCTCTAAATGCACTTAAAGAACTTCAAAAACTTGACCACGTATAATCAGGTATGGAAGAGAACCTGTTCTCTTCACCGTTTTGATCATACAGAGAATAAAAGAGTCCAATAGTAAGGCAGTTTTATTGTACACAAATTTCCTGGGTGCCTCAAACGGAGGCCTTGGAAATTTGAAACGACATCGTTGTAATACATTACTTGGAACTCGGATGTCATCTTTACGATATTATTGCATCCGTAGAATTTGTTGTGCTATAAACTCTGTCAGTAGCTTTCTTTGCCAGCACATAGAGAAAATAGAATTTGAGTTGGAGCTTAAGAGGGAATAATATATACATACATACAAATATATGCATGGTTTTAACTGGCAAAAGAGCTTTACTTCTTGCTCCCAGTTGGTGCTTAGAGTTACTATGGCTAAAGATGATGTTTGAACAAAAAGTGCCACCATAAGTCCTGTCCAGAGTCCCTGTGAACAACAAGGAAAACGGATTTATGTCATACTACTTCCGACCTGCCGTGGAAGTGTACAAAGCCAAGCAATTATATTGGAAAGCCTTGAAAACAACTCTATTAAAATATTACCTTCCCTCCGAGATGGCTGACAAAAGCTAGTATAATTGAACAAGGGATACCCGTAAGATAATCTGCTCCCAGATTAATCCAGGCCCCTGTTTTCTGCCAACCAGATCCCCTAGCAGCCCCTGCAATTTTTTTGGGGGGTATAATCACAAATTAATCAATACGGAAGAACTAATCGCAGAAAAAATTATGTAGATAGTAGTACTGAAAACACTCGTGCGTAAAGAAAGTAGAGCTAGTAGGTTCCCATTTACCACTTACCTGTTAGCACAGATTGAATGCCATCAAAAAAATGGGAGGCAGCAATCAACAGCAACATTTCTCCCACATATTTCACTACTTGGACATCTTTGCTGTAGCTGTAGCCCCAAAATTTTCGACCCAAGATCATGATAGTGGCTGCCAGAATTCCTTCAGTGGCTACCATGAACACTGCAACACAGACTGCTAGATAAGCAGCTCGCGGTCGTCCAGCTCCAAGTTCATTGGAAGCTCTTGTGCTGATTAGGAAAGAACATATACCAGAGGTGGGAAATAAAAAAGAAGAAGCAAATCGTATGGAATTCAACAGATCGTATCAGCCAAATTTATATGTTGAACTCACCTCACTGCAGCACTAAGCCCTAGAGGTATCATATAAATCGTTGCGCATGTATTAAGGCTGGAGTATCAATATAACAATTGGTCAATGAAGACATTATCATTTATTATACATTTAAAGCTATCGCGTTTATTCTCGGCCAAAATGGGACGGAACATAAACCTGATTGCCAGAACTGATGTTTCAAGCTTTGGATTGGGAAGAAGGCCAGATAACAGAACCATCATCTCAAACGACCAGACTTCCAAACTGTTCCAAGACATGTCAGCTATCAGAGACAAAACTTTCTTCAATTCAAATGTCAAAGAATCTGAAGCTAAGTTAAAAAAGGGGAAATGAAGGTTGATTACCTGTGCATTATAGCTGAAGGAATTGATAGTCTTAAGAACTCGGGAATACCATAGAAGGCTTCCTTCGAGTAGCCTGTCCAAGTCTTCTTACATGAGGGAGAGATTCTGACATAAAGTACTAGAAGTAAAGCATTAATCCAGTAAGAGAAGGTGTTTGCCAAAGCAGCGCCTTTATTTCCGAAACCAGACTCGAACACCAGAATCCAACAATTAAGGATATGAAGTAATGTTGTAAATCCGGAGATAACCATCATTGGAACTACATTGTTTTGGGTTTGTAAGAATCTGATATGGCATTCCTGGATAGCGAAACCAAAAATGCTAGGCAGCATGAAACGGGCGTACTGTCCAGCTTCGGCTGATATTTCGGAATCTTGTCCGAAGAACAAAAGAATGTCACCAGCATTGGCCCAGATAAACGCAAGAGGAATGCTAACCAATAACAGCACAATCAAGGCCCTTTGTAAGTGAATACCAAGCTTGTGATCCTGTTTTGCTCCATAGGACTGACCACAGAATGTATCTAATGCACTTGCCATTCCCCTCTAATCATCAGAAACCAAAAAAAAAAAAAAAAAAAGAACAAAGGCTTAAAACTGTTATGTACCAGGAGAAAAAAACAAGGGTAGCCAAGAAAATTTTACAGAGGGTAACAACTAACATGTACAGAACATTTTTCTAGAATCAATGAACATTGAACATCTTTCTGTATATGAATAAATATGCTTTGACCGAGGCACCGAGCAGCCTCGAGGCTGCAAGTAATTATGAGAAATTGTACAAACTTTGCATAATATATATTATGTAGTGCGTGGTGAAGAAAACATGAAAGAGTCTGATTCATTTCATCTTACTATCGAATACAAAAAAAGCTATTTTATTAGACCCAGTCTTACCAACAAGCTAAAGCCAGTTACTGAAGCAAAGGAAGTTGCCATGGAAGCACCAGAAAGTGCAAGATTCCCAAGATGACCCACAAACATTACTGAGATAGCCTGCAAAGCAAATATCAAGAAATTAACTAACACAAGAGGCCCCGATAACAACAGCTGCTTCTTCACCTCAGCGAGGATCTCATCCTTGCTAAATCCCTCTTGAGATTCAAATTGATTACCTTGAGAAACCAGTGGTGACTCAAGGCACGCCCTTTGTTCTTCAAGGTTCTCCATTTTTTTTTTTTTCACACTTCCCCAAGAAAGCCCCGCTTTGAACTTGTTAAGGGAAAAAAAGGCATATATCGCATGCCAAAACCAATTAGCTTCAGACATATTATCTTCGTGTGGCAGGAATCGAGCTCAGTAGAGTTGACAGAACGTCTTCTGATAATTCGACTTAATATTCTCCACAACTTAGCAACAATTTGGCGTAAAGAATTATTATTTTATCCACCATACTTTGAAAACCAATAGAAAAATTATTATTTTACCCCTGATGTGACGTTTATAAGTATTATTATTTTGATTAATCAATCAGTAAAAGAATACAAAACCTTAAGTGGCAGTCCACATCAGTACGATTTGACCAAATTGTTTATTCACTTTTACATTATAATAAAAAATTTTAAAATTTTTTATTCTTTTAATATTTTCTATTATCGAAAAAGAATATTTTAAAAAATTTTTTTGTATTACCAAGTGATAGAACCATTGACGTAAATTGAACAGTTGAGCAATCAAAACAATAATACGTATAAATGATAGTTTTAACATATTATTTATCAAAATTGAATGATTAAAATGGAGAATTTTTAAAACTTCTAAGTGACAAATAAAGTAATTTTCTTTAATATTAATCACTAAAATGTTAAATACCTTAATCTCTGTTAGTTGAAAGTTGATTTTAGATTTTTTTTAATCTCAATCCCTCATAATAAACTTTTTAATCTTAATCTTTACAAAAACATCTCATATTAAATAAAAGGTTTGAAAATCTTTTCATTATAATTAATTAATTATAATTTAAAATTATATTGAATTCATCAAGATTTTATTCATATTTTACAAATGTGAAGTTTTATATAATTTTTGTTATAATTAAATAATTAAAATATTATAGTAAAAAATTATAAATGATATATATCCGTTCAATTATAAAAATATACTTTAAAATCTTTAAGATTCCAATCGAATCGGCGAGAACTTGCACGGTATTTTAAAGGAAGGATCATAGTAAGCAATGATTAATATATCCATCTTTGGTCCACATAAGGATGGACCGTTTCTCACTATCTAATTGGATTTTTTATTATGACAAGGATTGAATAACCATTAATGTATTTGATTAACTTGAGACAGATGGTAAATATTGTCTTATTTTTTAATTTTCTTTTAAAAGTCTCCAAATTAAGTACTATTAATTTTTTTAAATACCTAATATAATTGATTATATTTTATACTATTTTTCTTATTCTTTCAACTTATGGCATTAAAAATAATAAAATATCAACTTTATACAGAAATTTAAAGATAATAATTTGTTTATTTTCAACATATTTTTCAATTTTAGTTTTGAGGATGATATTTACCAACACTGCACTTATTACTCATCGTTTGTATTGTCTCATATAAAAAAAAAAAAAAAAAAAACCTGGACAAGGATATAAAAACTGCATCTAAAAAGACAAGCCACCACGAACAGAACGACAAATGTAGTTTTAGAGAACCGGATATGATATTCATCTCTGACATACAGAGCAGAGATTTTCATTATTCAACCAATTGAAATTAGTAGTATCAAGTGCTACCTTTTGTGCTGATGACAAGTGGTATTAATAATTTTTACCAGTGTTTTGAAATTTTCAGCAGAGCTACCATTCGGCTGTACTGCCTTGCGAGCAAGCTCTTTCTGGACCCCAATTTTCAACCTCATTTTGTTCCCTTCTTCGGTTGACAATATGGAGTTCAAGGCTTTCTTTGTTCCTTCTTTTGTGATGGTTCCCCCCTCTAACCCCAAACCAAATCCCCATACTGACTCAACAGTTCGTGTGTTCAACCTTTGATCTCCAAAAAATGGTCTCAGAATCATGGGTACACCTCCGATGATACTTTCCAATACTGAGTTCCATCCACCATGAGTTACAAAAACCCCAACTGATTGATTTTCTAATATTTTCAGCTGAGGAGCCCATGGAACTATCTTTCCTTTCGAGCTCGTTCTTTCCAGGAATCCTGGTGGCAGTTGCTTCTCAGGATTTCCCCTGAAAGACCAAAGATATGGCAAATCACTTTCCTCAAGGGCTTCAGATAATGCTGCTAGCTCGTGGGGTGGTGGTGATATCACGCTTCCAAAGCTGATGTATACCACCGATGCTTGGTTATGCTTGTTCAGCCAATCCAAGCAGCCATGCGTGTCATCAATTGGGGAACCTGATGCTAGATTGAACGGACCAATGTTGAGAAACATATTGAATCTTGATTTAAGCAAGTTCACCACTGTATTGTCCAAGTCTTCATAAGAATTTGCGGCAATTGCAGTGGCGCGAGACATTGATGGCCCCATTTTATCCAACAATGCTGGCACGGGGGCATCAAAGTTCCCGGAGGTTATTCCATCGGGTAAATCAGCATTACTTATAGCAGAAAATTCTTGATGAAAATCAAGTGCCTTATCTGGAGGACCTGCAATATTAAGAAATCACACAATTGTTAATCTCATAACGTCACAGGAAATGGTGTACATTTTGTGATATAAATGAGAAAATTACCACTCAGCTCCCACCATTAATATTAAGATAAAAGGAAAAATTAGATCTTAACGATAAAATTCTTCAAAATCCTAGCAGGTTGCAATTGTTATGCTTCGCGATCAATTTAATTAGTAGTTTTTTGAAGCAGCTGTCTCAATAATTTTTCATAAAAGTTGATTCCAATCTTATTTTTCGATTAATAAAAAAAAAAAATTGAATTTTGCATAATTTAGAACCAACTCTTTTCATGATGTAGGATGATATAAGGATCTAATTTGCTTTGTCATAATGTTAGTTCTTTGAATGCAAATGGGCAATGGGTTGAAAATTGAAGAAAAAAAAAAAAAACAAGAATATAAAACAAAAAGTGGGATGATCGTGATGATTTATTACATTCACAAGAAAAAGAGGGTTACATTAATATGAAAGAAAACAATCTCAAAAATGAATTCTGATAAATTCATCATTCTCATCATTTTTTACTCAATATCTCGTCCATCAATTCTTATATGGAAAACTCTTAAATTTATTTTAGCTTGTATATTTCTTTTACACAAGGGTTAATGTGCAAAACTCAATAACCATTCATCTAAAATGAATAAAAAGTGAAGATTTGCTTATAAAAAATGAAAAATTTGAAGAGAAACATACTTTGGTGAGCACCACGTTAAAGATAAATTTGTCCTAAATAATTTTAAAGATCACTTTCCTTTGTTGATAAAAAATTTTTACACCTTTTTGGATGTGATTTAAATGAACTCATAAGATAATGATTTAATCAATCTTAATTATCTAAAACCATTATCACAAAATACTCTCAAGTTATTATCAATCACGATGATGTGATCATGGTGATTGAATTATTTGTACCAAACCACGCCTAAATCTATGTTTAACTCATCCCTCCACCCTTGCTACTGGAACTAATAAATCCAAGCGACTTTAATAGCTTGAACTTTTACAATAATTGATGGTTCAATTAATTTTTGTTGAACTTGTGACACACCAGCCACTATTTAGGCCCATGACCTGCAATTAATTTCTGCTTAATTCTTTAAAAAGATAATACATTCATCTCTGGCATGATAATTATCTTTGATATTTGATATATATATATATATATTAATACGCACGCAGTTTAGATCTGATCCGAAAGACATGCTAGCTACCACTCAACTAGCCAATAAAATCGTCCTTATCCTAGGGAAGAAGAATTTTTTAACCACTTGACTTTGAAATTTTGAACAACTTAAATCATATGAATTAAAAAAGAACGCAGAATGGTTGGTTGGTTGGTGTCCCTGGGATTAAATGAATATCACATCAATCGTACACTTAATGTCACACAAAAAACAAATAAATATCAGGAAAAATATATTTCTGACCGTTAATCCCTACATGCCGGCGAATAACATCGGTCTCAGCGTGAATGAAGAATGCCCGAGGGCCAGCCGTCCAAAGCGCCAACCAAGGGACGTTCAGTTCATCTGCAATATCAGCCGCAAACCAATAAAATGCATCTGTTATCAGACAATCAATACGCTTACCAGTTTCAGCCACAAGTGCATCTATGGCCTCCCTGAAATTCCCCGGTAACGCTTTAACGAAATATTCCACGGGCTCATGAGGGTTCCCCTTAAAGCTATACCCTTCCGGCAATCCATCCCCGACATGAAAAGGCTTGATATTGTCAAGCTTCTCATCTTTGGGAAACGTTGAGTTGTTTGATTGTTCCGTGCTAAGGAAGGAGAATACTACGCCCGGGGAAGCGTCCGACAGCTGACGGACCATTCTGAGAAGAGGGACTGCATGAGTGCCGAAAGGGAAAGCCAGTACCGCTATGTGTTTTGAAGCATTCTTGTAGTTTGCCATTGTTTTTCTCTGCAAAAATTTGACTTGACAAAAAGGGTTCGGTGTTCGTGGTAGATTTTTAGTTCTAATAACTAGGGTTTAGTTTTCAATAATCTCAAGTATTAAAAAGGAAATAGAAAGGTTGAGACGATGAGTTTGGCGGAGGGGTTAGGTTGGGGACTTAATCTGCTCGTACACGTGACGAGAAGTAAAGTGCGGGGAAAATTAAGGAAATCAGAAGAGATTGAGTTGAGAAGCAATTATCATTCAAATGTTGGCAGGGCTTAGGAATAGCAAGTATCGACGTGGATACCGAGAGCATCACACATTTAGTTGGTGTCAAGGACTCAAGGTGAACGTGGATATGTAGAGCATCTTACAAATAGCAAACCTTCCTCTATGGCTAGCTATAATTATTAACCAAGAAAAAAGAAGTGTCAATTCTGCAACAAACATCGAAAGTAATAAATAGTTTGGCTGGTAGTACATGAAGAAATATAAAAGAAATATAAAAATATTATTAATGAATTTATTAATTTTAGTCATATATATATATATATTCGAGAAAAAATTTTAGAATATTTAGAATAATTTTTTTTTAATTTTTTAATTTTTGAATATTTATAAATATTTTACTTCAAAAAATGAATTCGAAGATTACAAATGAATTTATATATTTACTACCTGATTCATATGTAATAAGAAATCAATATTGAACTATTGAGTTAATAATATAATAAATTTTTTTATTTTTTATTTTTAAATATATTATTATTTCAAACTAAATACTCATTTGACCTTAAAATTATTTCATTTTTATCAATTTAATAATTAAAAAAATGACAAATTATAATAAGCAAAATTATACAATGAAAGGTTTGTGTATTAAAGAGGAGCGCGTACAAACTAGTTTTTTCCAAATTAATATTTTTTGTAATCTTATTTTCCAAACTAAAGTTGTTGTAAACTTTATTCCTAAAAACGAGTAATTTGAAATAACTAAGTTTTCAAATAAGCATTTTATTAAGATAATATTTCACTGTTTCACCCCATCGTTCCTTACTCGATCTCCCTTTTTCTTCCTTATAACTATGTTCATATTTTTTCCAAAATTCATTTTTACATATCTTGTTCCTAAAATAGGCATTAAAAAAATTATTTGAATAAAAAATAATTAGTTAAGCCACTCAAGTGAATCTTAATTGCCCTTTTTTGTAAATCTATGAAAATTTCTAAATATCTTCAAGAATTGTCAAATTTCCTCCAATAAACTCTTATTTTTTTGTTACTCTTTGTCCATTTACCTCTCATCAAATTTTATTAAATTGGTTACTATGAGATCTTTTTTTTTTTTTTTCCATTTTCAAATCTTTCCTGAATTTAGGATTAGTTATAATTTAATATTTTATGATTTTTTTTCGGTAAAAGTAAATAATTATAAAATTTTAAATATTTTAATCATCATAAATATTTTAAAAAATCATTTTGGCAAAGAAATTTTGAGTAGGAAAAAATACTAACTTTTGGGAAAATTAAAATGATTCAAACTAAAAATTATCTCAATCCAAACAATAAGAACTAACCTAAAAGGTCTTTTTCTAAATTTTTTTTTATAAATTTTATTTGATTTTAAAATCAATAATTTAAATTTAAAACAGCTAGAATCCGACTAAGTATTAAATTCGAATAATTCAAATAAAAAAAATTGAACTCGAGATATAATTCAAACCTCAAACAAAATGAAGTTCTTTTAATTCAATATAACTTACTCAAACTGGGCTTGTGTTGTCCAATTATCACCTCTATTTAAAAAATTAGGTTTTAACTTTTTTCAAATAATAAAAAAAACCTTACTACTTTTGGTGTTTTCTTTTTTGCAAAGTATGATTTTCTTTTTTCTTTATATCCTAAAATTAATAATTTTAGTGCCCAAAAAAAATCATACACTTCAAAGTCACATCTATCAATGATATAATAACTAGGACAATAATAGTCACACTTTACTTTTCGGAAAACAAAAGATTTTAAATTAAAAAAATTTCTACACCTTTTTTTTATTTTTAAGATATTATGACAACAATACTTGCTATAGGAAAAATAGTTGAATGCATTCATATTTATCTATGCTATTTATAAAAGACTTTTTACTATTTAAGTGATATTAAATCAGTTGACTAATTTACTCAAAAGTTAAAAGTTAAACTAAAAATAAATATTTTAAGGGTATTTATTTTTTTACTATTTTTAATTTTTTAAAAAATTTATTTTACTATTTTTAAAAGTATAAATTAAATTTAAATATTTTTACTAAGGGATAAAGGATGGTGGGTTGGAACTTCCACCTTACATTTTTTTTTTTTTTTTTATAAATTCTTAGTCACTGTGTCTCAATTTAAATTTAAATATAATTACGAAAAATCAAATAAAATATATTATAAAAATATAAAATTAAGTGAAACAAATGTTCTTTATTCTAAAAAATAACTTCTCACTAAAAACTACTCATTCTTTTAGGTCTCATTTTCTTTCAAAACACTTTTTTTTTTTTTCAAACATTATTTATTTTTCACCCACTTAGTGGGTGTACCCAATTCTAATAATATTAGGAAGCCAGTCCATCATCAATGCATATACTACTTGTGGACGACATTATTTTCAAGGAAAATTCACCAACATTTCTCTATATGGTTTTGTAGAAAATGAAGATGTTAAAGTTGAACATGAAATAAAATGGGGGGACCATTGTTAGTGTTCTTAGCTGTTTAGACTGGCTTTTCAAAATGTTTTATTTTAGCATTAACCTAACACTTTTGTGTGACATGGTGTGCTTTGATTGGATTTATGGAAACTAGATTTCATCTTCGAAAAACCTTTGTCTCCCCATGGAAACAAATGTGGCAATCATAATCGAACATGCTTGCCACCCCATAGTTTAAGCTTTTATACAACTCTTTCCTTTCTTATATAACTACTAATAAAAAAATAGATAAATAAATCAAATTCTTAATGTTATATATTGTGAAAATCCTTGTTGTACATTGCTCCCCCTTGATGAGAACATTCTCTAAGATGGAAACTTATCAAATGAGAGCCTGCTTTGGCGAAATCATGGTGTTCCTTTTGCTCATCTTAACCACTCGGGCCAACTACCTGAACCTGGTTGACCAGTTTTTGGCTCCTCAAAATGCTGCACGTGCCGCCATTGGAATGCGACCATTGGATTGGGATCCAAGGTTGGCGAGTTATGCTCAATGGTATGCCAACCAAAGGCGGGAAGACTGTGCTTTGAAGCACTCCAATGGACCTTACGGGGAAAATATCTTTTGGGGTAGTGGCGATGGCTGGACGCCGGCTGAGGCGGCGGCGGCATGGGTTTCGGAGAGGAAATGGTACAGTTACTGGTCAAATTCATGCGCCGAAGGGGAGGAATGTGGGCATTACACACAGATTGTATGGGGCGGAACCAAGAGAGTTGGGTGTGCCAGGGTGGTTTGTGATGAAGGGATGGGTGTTTTCATGACTTGCAACTATGATCCTCCAGGGAATTATATTGGAGATAGACCTTACTGAATTTCATCAATGGTTCCTTTCATGAAATTTTTGCTATGTGAAAATGGAATGCGAGTGTCAGTTTACCATGCAAGTCCTTTCTCAAACTTTTTTTTTCTCTTTTCATTTAAATTTGTTGATATTCAACTATTGATATGGAATTTAAGCTTGGGAACAGACAAATAAATGGTACGAAAATTAAATTTTTTTTTTTTTAATTTCTATGTCTTTCTATTTCTTTGCTGGGATAAGACATATTCCAATCCTATCTGTCGCATTTTTTTAGATTTAACTTTAAAGTCTAAGATAAATTTGGGTTGCAGATAGACTATTTCAGCCTGCATGGCCCAAATGTATGTCAGCCTTTAATCCTGTGAGGACCAATTTTATGGGCCGGAGGGAGAATAAATTAATTATAAAATTGAAAATCACATATATAAAATTATAAATAGAGAAATTTAACAAATATACATTGAAGATCAATAATTGGAATAAGTCAAGGCTTTTTTTTTGGGGAACAAATGCGCCGTTAAGGAAAAAAACCCACGTGCAGACACGTGTCATAATGTAACTGCTGCGTGCTCCGACCGCCTTTTTTTTTTGGCGCCTCCATCACTGTTCCTTCCACAAGCCGTAACTGCGCAATTAAAATCTCCCCAAAACCCCAAACCTTTCCCTTTCAAAAGATCTTTCACTCTCCAGCCGGACGTGAAATCGTTTTTTTTTTTTTTTTTTTATTTACAAAAGAATAAAAAGAATCTCAAAGCTCGGAAATCTCAGTTCTTTCTTTTTTTTTTTTTTTTTTTTGAATTAGCCCATGCTTCTTTTCTCCACATGATTGCGGCCATTTGTCCACCACCCCGAACCGCCACGCCGGGCTCCGGAAGGATTCGAATTGCGAACCCGAATCCGAACCGTCACTCGTTTCGCTTTAGTAACTTAGGGTTCCCGCTTTGGAAGCCGAAACTGAACTGGCTATCGTACGAGCGGATTCAGCAGATGCAGATGGCGTGGGTTCGGAGTATGAGCGGCGGTTGCTTCAAGAGTACAGAGCCGCCGCCTAAACAGGGGATCAAAGTCGAAGAAGACAGTGGCGGCCAAGACGTTTTCGACGCTGACGCCATGGACTCGAAGGTTTCGCCTGAACATCTGGTCATCATGGTCAATGGCCTCGTTGGAAGGTACCTTTCATTTGAAATGTAATTGTTAAAGATAATTCATAATTGTGCGAAATTCGCTTTAAACACAAATTTTCGAGCTATAACATTTAAACTTCTAGGGAGTAACTTTTAATTACCTCAAACCATAAGCACGATATTCAAATTTATACGGGCAAAAGCATAGTTCTTCAAAAGTTTTGGCCCCTTTTAAGTAGTTCTAAAAAATTTTTAAGTTGGCGTTTGGGAACCTAAATTTGTATTTGGGTTTAAAATTTTTGAATTATCGATCCTTTGATTCATTAAAAGTTCATGAATTTGAAACCCTTTGTTTGGATAAATCTAGGATTCCGAAATTCAAGATTCTAAACTATCTTAGATTTGGGAAGTGAGAATTTGAACTGGACGCATTTGACAAATACTAATCTCAAAAAGAAATTTGAAATCTTAGACAAAATAAAATTGATTTTTTGTTTATGTTACCATTGTCCATTTAGGGAAAAATACATTAGGATAGAAAACCAATGACGTATGCAGCTAAAAGAAGTGTGAACGGTTAAGTCTGTTGTCATTAGAGACATTTTCCATGTCTTTGCATTATTAATCAAGCACCCAACTTAGCCGTACAAGCAGCTTGATTGATAATGTAGAGTTGGTGCCTATAGAATTGCATTGTTCCTCCATGATATTCATGGTGGCTTTGTAATGTTCAAAGGTGCTCTAGATTGCTAGTGCTTAGCTGAAAGAATTGGAACACAAATAGAGAAATGCAGGAGAAGCGAAAGACTTTGGTAACTTTGGCCATATCATCTTGTTGATTTTTTTCACCCATTTGACATCAAAACATTTAAAAGAAAAACTATTTTATATACGAACATATTTTATACTACACAGATTAAGGTGGCTATGGTTAAAGCCCTGGATTTTGGATTTTTGTTTGCCTCAGTATGTAAGAATTGGGTTTCAACCTATACTTGATAATCAATGTTTTCGTTAGGAAAATCATTTATATTAAATGTGCTTCTATATATATGTTTTTGGCCATAGATGCTCTTTGTAAAACATGTCAATCAAATCTTAATTATTTTTATGTTTTAAAATCCTTTTAGGGCTTTTTTTTTTTTTTTTTTGGATTTCAAGGATAAAATTAATGAAACATTTTTATTTGTATTAGTATGTATATATGTGTGTCATTTTATTTACATGTCATTGTTGTATCTTATTGGTTCCTAAAAGTTGGATATTGTTGTAATGCATTGGTATCTTATATCCCATCTGTCCTTCATAGAAACTGGTAGACCAAAATCCATAAGAAGGGGTAAGAAGGGTTTTATTTAAGGATCATTATTCAATGCACTGTTGGTCAATATCAATACTCCACAAATAGGTTGGTTCTTTCTTTTTTGTTACTGTGTTCATTTAAGTATAAGAAAGAGATAATATTTAAAAAGTGTCAAGATATTGGGTTAGGGTAGGTGCCTGACAAGATTTTTGTGAAGCCTTTGAACTCTACTAGCATTGTGTTGGATAATGATTCTTTGCTTAATCATACCCTAACTCTTGACTTCTCTTTGTGTGGTTTAACTGGTTGAAATTTGTTATTGTCCAAGTTCACCTCTTTTGTCCCTCTAGATCTAATCTCTTCATTGAATAAGTTATATGTTCATGTGCTTGTTATATTGTGTTGGCTTGTGCTAGTCACTAAATTGTTTCTGCTTCTATGCAATTTATACATTCTTCTCCCAAAAAAAGTTAATAAACTAATCACAATAGTTCACCTTGTGTATAGTGCTGCTGATTGGAGATTTGCTGCAGAACAGTTTGTGAAGAAGCTACCTGACAAAGTAATAGTGCACCGTGAGTTTTCTTTCTTACATTTCTTCTGCCTCTTCTCCCTTCTTTTCTGCTACTGTGCATGTTGAGTCATCGATAATTTAATGGGTGCTAATCAAATACCCAAAACTTTGCGGTGTGCTTAATTTGTATTAGAGTGAAGATTTTGTATTTATAGAGTGAAAAATCATTTGTTGCTTTCATGAGTCCAATTAACTTAATTAAGGCTTCATTTGTCTGAAGCAATTGAAGAAACAGATCATTAATGCAAATGTTTGCAACTGTTGGTTAGTGGTCTTCTACACAGGTAGGCTTGGTTGATGGCTAAGACAGGCCAAGCTAGATCAGGTGCAAAGTAACCAATATTAAGTATGCAAACAGATAGGATTATAAATTATAAAAAAGAAAACAGATGGAATTCGAGTGAACCAAAAGTTTGCTAATATCATCCATTTGGTTGAAAAGAGTTGACAAATACATGGAAAATATGGTTAAATTTGGGCGAAAGTGATAATCATGGAATAATAGTGTATGTCTAAAGTCTGCACAAGCTCAAAATGTCAAAAATTTTCCCTTGTTCAATAGCAATTGTACAGTACTTTCTTTTTGCTCAATAAGTGAAAAAGTTGTTTACTTAAGTAATTTTTCTGTGAAAGTTATGCAAAATTATTAATAAGCAAGCCCTTCTGAATTTTGATATTTACCATCTCTTTGCATTTATTGCATCTTTTCAGATATCCTATCTTGCATACACATGTAATAGGTCTTGACTTGATATTTGTGTACAGGCAGTGAATGCAATTACTCAAAATTGACATTTGATGGTGTTGATATGATGGGTGAAAGGCTAGCCGAAGAGGTATTTTGGTAATAAAAGTCTTTATCTTAGTTCCTGGTGTTTTTCATTGATAAAAAAGCTGTTTTCAATTAAACTTTCCTGGTGTTTGTTCCTAAAATTTGTAATTGTGGGAACATTTTGGGGAGAATATCATTGTTATCTTCATTTATGGACTAATATATGATGCAGGTATTGGGTGTTGTTAAACGTAGACCAGAGGTACGGAAGATTTCTTTTGTGGCTCACTCTTTAGGTGGTCTTGTTGCAAGATATGCTATAGGGAGGCTCTATGAGCATTCTTCAAAGTTAGGTCAATCAGGTCTTTATGCAAACTCTTTAACGGAAGAGCACACAAATTCTTCAATGCTATATCTTGAGCAGCCTTGTGAACATAGAATTGCTGGATTGCAACCAATGAATTTTATAACGTTCGCAACACCACATCTTGGGTCAAGGGGGCATAAACAGGTAAGTAGCATGCTTTTACATGTTATCTGGAGTCATTTTTTTTATGTGCCTGCCGTTTTACTTGGTATAGACTTGCAATATTTTCAATATTGAACAAAAAATAAAGGGAAAAAAATCCAAGAGCTTTGATGAGGGTCACTTATCCACAGCAGAAATCTTTCCTTCCAGAAAGTCCCAATATAGATGGGGTCATTAAATCTTATTTGTTCAAGAGTATGAACCTTCCTAGCCACAATTTCTGCCCAGATGAATCCTTTACAACCCAAGAGATGCCGAGCATGTAACAAGCCTAGGATCGAAGCTGTCTCACCTAGTGTAGGTTAGCAGAAGATGGCGATTTGGACACTAAGCATCTCTCTGTAGGGGTCTTTTACTTGCATTTTTTTCCTTTTTCTATTTTTTAGACATTTCTTGCTACATATTTCTTTAATAGTTTAAGGTAAATGATGATTTCTGGACTTTTTTTTTGAGGTACTGAAACATTCGAAATTATGATGAACAGTTCTTATGAGGGAAAAAGGTGGTGGATACACTGTTATTTTTCTTACTTTATGCAATCAGGTTGCCCTGTAACCTTTGACCATAATTTGATGTTAGCTTTGTGTGCCTCGCAAAATTCTGGAGTTTGGACATGAATAACTAATAAGTGAAGCAAAATAAGAACACATTCTTGAATGCTGACTGTTGAATTTTGAATTTATTTGCTGTGTTGGCTCTCCATTTAAAGACTTTGTGTTACTGTTCTTTTTTTTGCCTTCCTGTTCTTTGTTTCTTCTATTTGATGCGTACATAAATTGAGCTGCGCTTAGTATAGCTGAGGTTGTTGTCTATGTTTTGCAGCTCCCAATTCTTTGTGGTCTTCCTTTTCTTGAGAAAAGAGCATCTCAGACTGCACACTTGGTTGTTGGAAGGTCTGGAAAGCATCTGTTTCTCACTGACAGTGATGAGGGAAAACCCCCGCTTCTCCTTAGAATGGTTGATGACGGTGATGACCTGAAATTCATGTTAGTGTTAATTTTTTGTTCCCCTATATTCAATTGCCTTAACACTTGTTCTTAATAACTGCAAAATGGGTAATACCGTTTTTCATAACCAACCTGTATAGATCAGCTCTGCATGCATTTAAGCGACGTGTGTTATATGCAAATGCAAACTATGATTGTATCCTTTATGAGGTTAAAGTTTCTCATTAACTGCATCAGTTTATGCATAAGGTTATGCTTTTGTTTTTTTGTAAAATATTATGTTTATCTTGACTTGTATCTGAGATATGGTTGGCTGGAGAACATCATCAATCCGACGTCAGAATGAACTTCCAAAGGTGATTTTTTTTCATTCAATTTATTCCTTATATTTCTCAGCTCTATGTCTCCCTTGACTGCTTAGTTTTATTAATATTTTTCATCTTTATTTCCAGTCAAATCTTCTTGTAATAGACGAGAAGTATCCACATGTTGTATATGTTGAGAGGGAAACTACAAACAAGATCCAAAACAAAGCTTCATCTATTGCTGGAGCCCAAACAAGTGATGTTGAAGGTTTGTTGAGCTTTTCTTCTTCTGGATTATTGTTTAGATTTTGGTACATCAATTGAATATATAGTGTTTAGGGATTTTATGGCATATAGGGTTGTATTTGGAAGGGTTAGGATGGGGGAGAGGGAGAGAAATCTATTAGAATTTTTAGGCTTTAGGGAATTGTTATGGCATTTAAGGTTATATTTGGTATTTCACTTTAATATTAAGGTAAAGGTGTAGCCTATTATTCTCTATGTTATCTTTTGGGAAGGGGTAGATTAGAGGGAGGGGTAGGGGGTGGGAGAAAGTGAGAGAGGCAAATAGAACAATTGTAGCGAACATTCCATGGTAACTGTCTTGTTCTTACAGTAGATTGGAACAGAAAATTGTAGAAACCTGCTACACATTGTCGAATTGCAGTTGTAATTGTCAATCTAGCATACAAGCAGGATCTCTGTCTGATAGTTTTAATTCAAGGGTTAGCTATAATTGTTACCTTGGTCTCACCTTTTTTTCCCTAATTGTTAATTTGTTATAAATTACAGTTTGTCATCGTTAGATTTGTGGCATATTGCTTTTATTCATTCTTGACCATGGTGTCAGATCTTTTCACTAGTCAACTTCGTATTCTATCATCTTGTTGATTTGTTTAAACTTGTTTGTCTTACTTTGAATATTCTCCTATTAATTTGTAGAGGTGATGATTCAAGGTCTCACTCAAGTACCTTGGGAACGTGTTGATGTAAGCTTTCAAAAAAGTAAACAACGATATGTTGCTCATAATACAATTCAGGCAAGTTCAGTTGCATGATATATCTTTTTCACTCTGTATGCTTCTTTTCTTTTATACAAAATTGAAATTTGTTGTCTTCTCTGTGCAATATTTTTTGTTCAATATTTTACCCTTTATACATGTCCCCATTTATGACTGTAATCCACTAAAAGGAAGCCAAATGCGCAAGCCTCCCACATCATGGGCTCCTTTGAGGGATATATGTACACATCTGGCTTCCTTTACAAAGAGGCCGGGTGCCAACAATCCAGTGTTATGAAGAAATAAGGGTGCCTAAGAAAACCTTAGCAGTTTCTTATTGTTGCCCCTGAGTGTACAAAAAGTTTATTATATTAGCACCATTTAGATTTAGTCAAGGATCTATTTTTATGCTAATGTACCAACATGAAGATAAAATTTTGGAGGTCTTTTCTTTTCACTAGAGGCATGGTGTGGAAGGGCAGTTTGAGAAAAAGATGAATGTCAAATACATTCAGATGCTAACTGGTTTAATTCAAGCAATGCCCATTTTTAGTTTGCGAATTTAAACGATAATTTGAAAGCAATTTGTATCTGATTATTCACTTATTGGTTATGTTATCATGGTTTATTATTATGATTTATATGTATTTGACTTTAACCATCACAAGAATTCTATATTAGTGTAGTTGATGAGCTATCTGTTAAAAATTATTTAATTGATCTTGAGGCAATTAGTTTCTGAAAATGTAATTCCTTGGTGGTCATGTATTAGGCTCTTTATTAGTAAGTAACAACACTACTTTTTTTTTTTTGCTTTCTTATTTTATTGTTAGCAGTGTGCAGTTTATCTAATGTACTCCTTCAAGTTAGTGTGCACAGATTAATGTTTTATTTTCACCCTGCGTTCATCATTTTACTCATATTTTACCTTCTTCTTTAGGTGAAGAGCTATTGGTTGAATTCTGATGGAACAGATGTGGTTTTCCATATGATCGACAATTTCCTTCTCTAGTCCTGGAAAACTTTGGTGTCAGCCTGTTAGTGATTCAGAAATGGGTTAGGTCACTTATTTTTTGGTTTGATATGCACATTGTCCCAAATGAGAATGTTGCAGTGTATTTTTATGTTAAATATGGAATCATTAAGGACATTGCAAAGTTGTTGTGTCCTATGTCCAAATAGGTTCTCTTATTCTTATATCCCATATGTATATTACATTTCTTTTGTTATGATACTGCTAATTTATTTTCTATTTAGAAATGAAACTTTCTTCCTTCTAATTATATTATTGTTCACATGTTTTATGTACATTGGTTGCTTTGCCATTACTTTTTGAGTCAGAAATATGCATTTTTGCTCAAGCAATTGAGTATGCCTTATACCAGACTATTCTGATCACTAATTCTTTTGAGAACACATTTTATTCAGTAATTGCAATTACATATTGATATTTGGCTTCATTATTCATCAGTTTGCCCAAGTTTTCTGTTTGGCAACGTGTGATGGATGGTTTGTGCTACTACATATTGAGTCACAGATTATGACATTCTTTTCTATTAAATGGCTGAAGACCCCAACCCAAGTTGCAAGCCATGCTCATAAGTTTTTCTTACGCAAAACTCTACTGAGAAATTCTCATCTGCCCCAATCATCGATCCTCAATTTGGATTCAATGTTACATAGCTAGCTAGCTATCTACCATGGATCAATATTTGGATGTAGTTCCTCATTACCTGAATAAAGTTGAAAATAAAACTACTTTTCTATTCACTTGCCTGCCGTTAATCCTGACATTCTTCAATATCGTTGATTTCAGGAGGATTGCTAGCAACAGGACTCATCTCAGCTGTAGGTTGAAGCCTTGATCCAGATCGTGAGACATCATGAGAATCACGGATGATGTATTTTCGGACAAGCCTTCCCAAAATATGGTTTTCAGAGACAACCAAGGCTAACAATACAACGATCCCAGTGATGATAAATAGGCCTGCAAAGCTTCTTGACGTAAGACTAGGGCTACTCGAAGAGACTGGCCCAACCTCGTCTTGATCTATGGATATTTTGCCAAAATACTTTTTCTCCAGAGAGGACATGTATTTTCCTTGAGTGAAATTCAGGATTGCCCTCGAAAAATTAGCAACAAGAGGAGAGCCTACAGGGAATGCCTGAAATTAAGAAAGCATACAAAACTAATAGGAATGAGAATAAACTATTCCTTATATATAGGTGCGTATTAAAATTTTGAGTTTGAACTTTAAAATGGAAGATGTCAATGAAAAAGATTATTTTTTATTTGTATAAATCAAAATTACTTGTATATATATAATAAACTAATCCGGTGAAATGAAAAATTTAAAGTAATTATAGATGTAGGAGGATAAATAATTATAAAATGAAAGGTGTGTATATATATATATATGTGTGTGTGTGTGTGTGTGTGTGTATATATATATAAACTTACAAAACCTAAACCATCGTTTCTGTAGGCAGGTCCAGCCATCATGTAACCAGTAGTATATTCGGCTAGAAAGAGTTTAATGTCGGGAATTTCATCAAAGATGGCAGCAACTCCCCCATTGTCAGATCCCTTGGACAGGGCCTCCTCATAATTATCCACAGAGTCATATGGTCTGAGCATAGACTCGTTGAACCCCAACTGATTTATCAGAAAATCTCTTACAAATGACCGATTCTGGTAACCAACATAACGTGTTCTGAGTTCTTTGATGGTCGTGATTGTCGGTTGTAACTGGTTTATTGTTAATATTGAAGACAGGTTTGCGGTGTAACTCTGCATCAAAATGAATGCCAAAAATATCCATATGACCAACACCAACCTTGAGCAATTGGTTACTACCATATCTCCTGTTATCGAGAAGAAAACTCAGTCACGTTTAGAATGTGTTTTTCAATGCAATTATGAGTAAATAAAATTAATATTCCTTTTAATTTTTGTACTTAAAAGAAAATATTAGAGAATAAAATGGAAGTTATTTTACTTTGAGGGATCGCCACGGATAGGAATGGAAGCGTACAAATTTTGCTAAGCAGCTTTTGGGGTGATCCATTAACATCTGTATTTTCACGACGCTCTAAAACCCAAACAACAATCCCTATGAAAACGCAGATGGAGATGATTGTCAACCATAGATCCCAGCTCAAAGGCTTCAAGAATATCCACATGTCTTCTGGCCCATGGTGGCTAACTTTTATGAGCATGGTCACCCCGGACTGCAAATATGGCAATGTAAAATCAACACAATTTATCCTGCTAGCCACAATCGAGATATCTCCCACAGCAGCGTCGATTATCTATAAATTCCACCCCCCCCCCCCCCCCCAAAAAAAAAAAAAAGAAATTATAAGAAAATTAATTTCAATTCAAACAAATGTAACGTCCGGAAAATTTTGATAGAGAAAAAAAAATTGAAGTAAATAGAACTGTACCTTATCTTTAACTTTGCAACAAAGATCATCATAAGATACGTCGAAGGTTACAAATTCGTAATCAGTAGTGGAAGGTAAGGCCAAGGTCTCCCATACAGCTTTGAAAACCTCTATGGAGAACCCTGGTAATTTATCGTCATCGCCCTTCTTGTCCCCAGGATGTATGTTCACAAATTCTTTGAACACCGTCTTACCTGGAACCCCAATTTTCCACTTTTCTCCAACCGCAGGCATATCATTTGTCTTGAGTGTTCTTCGGGTGTCTGCAGGTGTAATGATTTCTTTGAGCTTGTTCCTAGAAGTTGAATATGATGTTCTAGCTGAACTCAAATTTCTAGATATTCCCTGGTCAGGAGTCCAATAGCTAAGCATTTTCTCTCCTTTTGCGGTTAAATTAAATACTTCGAAGACCAAAGGCTGCAATTGCCCATTAACCAAGTCAAAATCTCCACTGATCCCTTGAAAACTCATGCTCGAGATTTCCTCAAGTATTCTTCTTGGACCTAATTCGGAAATCTGGGCGTCTGCTGAACTTCTGCCCTTCGCCTCGTTCAAGAAACCAGAATTCACAGTCCCAATTCTCTCCACGGACATAGCTAATGCCCAAATTGTATCATAAACCCACAAACCGAAGAGATTTAGCTCACTTGCGACGTTGTTTTGCTTCACCAAGGATAACCTTTTATATTTCTTTTTGAAGTCCTTTAGAGCTTTCGTCTTGGGTACACAAGGCCTTATGCCTATTACGGTACCCTTCATTGAGTCAAGAGCTACAAGATCCATGGTATCTACAAAGTTGGATAAACCATCTGTCACAAGCCATGCAAATCCTTTTGTCATCATTCCTGCCTTGTTTGCAACAAGAAACAAACGAGAGGCAAGGGTTGTAGTCATGTGCACCACAAATACCTTACTTTGCAGGGTCATCAGCACTTCCAGCTCTTCTAAAATTTGAAAATCTTGGGCAGAGGTGGGGATTGCTATCTCGTGTGATAGTTGAATGTCCATATTTTCTAATGCATCGGTTAAATAAGGGACAATCGCATGACCATATCCCATGTCTTCATATATAAGTATAACTTCGTCCCTTTCAAACTTTTCCAAAATGGAAACCGTAGCTTTTGCCAGGCGAGAGAAGTCAGCTAAGGCCGCACTGATAATACAAGAACCATAGGGTGGCGAAGAGCTTTCTCCAAGTTTTATTGCAAATGAGGCTTCAACTGATTGTTGTGTTAGATGTTCTGTGTATTCCAAACAAAATTGTAAGTCTCAATGGTATATACATAGGACACAAAAAGGGTTTCCTTAACCCTTCTAATAAAATTTCATTTTCATTCTAAACCATTTATTAAAGATTGGTATAGGGGTAGTCTATAATTGAATTATTCTTCAAATTTCAGGCAATTTGATATAATAATCCCAAACAATCTTCTTTTTGACAACACAAGCAACCCGCTTACATCATATTGAAATACTTTTTTCAAACTTTTGATCTTTAACTTTGCTATACTTTTTTTTTTATTATAATAACATGGCTAAATGCTTAATTTAGGATAAAATCTTTGATAAGTTACTCATACAAGGATTAAATGTTTGAATTGTGTTGATTTAGGATCAAACGTTTTCGAAAGTTTACAATTAAAAATATATTTTGACAAAAATTTATTCATGTATTACACGTATAATTTAATTAAGTGGCATTAATAAATAATATTGATTTGTCAAATATTTGACAAATGTCATGTATATGACAAACTCACCAAAACCAAAGAAAAAGGTCAAAATAATAATAAAAAAGCAATTTTCAAAAGAACAAGAAACACTTTCAACGTTTTTCTCTTATTCTTTCTAGATTTTTTATCTTGTTCAAAGTATCAGATTTTTTCTACCAAATTGCTAGTTTTCCTTCAATTGTGGAGGCCTCTTATTTTCACCTTTCGTCAGTAACAAGATCTATAAAGGCAGGTTCAACTTTCTCTTTCTTCCAAAATTTTTTTCTTTTCTCCATTTAACTCCTTCTTTTTTAGTATATATTTTCTCTTTCTAACTGTAACTCTTGACCTTAAGTGGCACTAATGTGTTAATTGATCCATTTTTTGCCACTCTTTCTCCTATCCTTCTAACAATTCTATTCATAATCTAAATTCTATTATTTAATCTATTTATTTATTTCACTCTTTACCCAAGTATAAGGAAATTGAAATTTTGATGAGTTGAAAATTTTATTATAAGTTTTAATTTAAAATGGTTGGATGATATATGTGATTTAGTTATGGGTTTTCTGATATTATGGGTATTATAATTTTTGCATGTTTGTAGTTTTTTTTTTTTTTTTAAATTTAGATTAGTAATGAGCAATTGAAAATTTGATGTTGTACTAATTAAAGATTGTCGATTGTGGTTATAGATACCATATTTTGTTTGGAGATTTTTTGAAATTTATTGGGCTTCAAATTTTAATTTTAATTGTGCAATTAGACCATAATTGGAAAAGTGAATTTTGGACTCGAAGATTAAGGCCTAAATTTTATTTGCATTTTAATTTTTTAATTTTAATTTTTTGTTTAATTTTAATTTTTTTAGTCAAAAGAATCAAAGTCAATTGGTAAAAATAAAGGGTAAAATTATAAAAATAAAATAAAATATGAGATTTTGCATGAAAAATCTTGGATTCAATTAAACTTTTAGATTATTTATCAAAATTTAACTTTAATAGTTGAATAATTTTGGAAATACTTGGGTCTCTATCTATTGAAAAAGGAAAGATTATACAGAGAATAAAATTTGCATAAAAATCCTAGATTCGATTGAATTAATTTCTTCCAAATCGAAAATGATTCAATCCCTATATAAGGACTTTGAATCTAAGATCCAAAGGGAGCTTGACAGTAATTACTTTAAGATCAAATAGAAGTCATTGAAAATAGAAAAAAATTTGAACAAAGTTTTAAATCAGCAAAGAATAAGCAATCAAGCAAAAATAATTTTGCAAGAAGATCCAGTTGAAATTTTTGAAAAGAAAGCTAAGTTTTATAGTAGGAAACATTAGTTTTTGAAAGATGAAAAATTGTTGAAACCCATGATCTATTGAGGTAATATTTGTTTTTTTTGTGATTTTTACATAACTTTTATAATATTTAATTGCTTACTCTTATTTTTATATTTATTACATGGTATTTATTTTTGCATGAATTTGCATGACTAATATTATATTTGCATGATAATTTATTTGCCTAACATATTTGTTTGCATGATTAATATATTTATTTGTGTGATTTATTAATATATTTGCATGGTTATTAATGTATTTAATTGCTTGATTATTAATATATTTATTTGCATGATTGTATATTTAATTGCATGTTTATTTGCCTAATTATATATTTGATTGCATATTTTGCATGGTTTATATATTATTATTTACATAATTGCATGATTTATGTATTATTATTTGCATGATTATATATTTAATTGCATCTTT